GTTTGTGACTGATCTGGTGTCTGTCTTTCCATTAATCTCCATCAAGGGAGATTTCTGGTTTACATTAAAATCTGTTTTATGACTTAAAATCTTGGTAATAGATTTCAAAACACTTATCCTGTGTAAAACTCAAACTGGTTGCTGTAGCTTTCATCAAAGTTTCTGAGACTTATGAAAGTGATCTTGAAATACATCTGCTGTACAAATATCTGATCATCTACTACCAAGACAGAATTGCTACCACTGCAAAACTGTATTATATATTGAATAATCAACAGCATCAAGGGAATATATCAATCTTTATGGACAGCAAGACAGAGATGAGTTAGAAGCTTTCTTTGTGCATGAAGTCTGTCTTGTCAGATCTTAATCCCGTACAGACAGAATTCCAGTATGTTCTTCAGCTCTTACTCATTCAGATTGAAGTCACAGAAATCTCTGACACTGAAGATGTTCCTGTCCAAGGAGTCAATTTCAATTCTAAACCAGCCATAATAAGTATTACTTTTATCATGCAGTTTCAACCACTTGGATAACACCATGATAAATTTAGAGGTGCTGTATTTTTCAGTCTGGCCACAGAATTATGGAGCTCCGTGTTTGTGACTTGGGAAACAGTTGTGTGAAAGCATAAAATACAATTGGTTCTATAGGTCTTCACAGCTATATTGATTGGTTTTGCAGGAACAATAGAAAGTAGTCAAAGCTGCTGAAAATGTGAGTAGGACAAGTAAAAAGTTGCATGAGACGCTACAACTCTTACTTAATTGTACCTCTGTGTACTTGACTGATAGTGTTCTGCTTTGAGCAATGAAGGGGAAAGTCTAAAAACGTTAATTTATGTCTTAGACACTATGATTTTGCTAAAGTGCAACTGAAGTTTCTAAGATACAAAAAGTAAGTGAAAACCGTGATTCATTTGGACTGTCTGGTTTAGCTTGAAATTCAAGTTCAGTGTTTTGGTATTTTTTTTTATGCTGTTATCAGTTAAAAATAGCTTTAAAGCTAATAATTTTGCTGTCATTCTTACTTTCAGATTTCATTTTAAGCTATTGTTTTTGAACAATGGTTGCTCACAGATTCTCAGGAGCATGTATAAGAATGTTGACCTTTAAAATTCTAGAAAAAAAAATTATTGAACTGAAAAACTGATAGTGCACTTTTGTATTTCCTGGTCAGATATCTGAATTTACTGGCATTTAGGGATGATACTTCTGAAAATGAAAAGGCTCTGCTGAGATAATATGATGGGAAATGGATGTGCAGTACAACTTCTGTTAAATTTTGTGATTTACTGAAATGAAAGTATACCTTTTGGAGATTTATTATGATCTCAAAATGTGTTTTTTCCAATTATTAGTAATCTGTTAAAAATATACACTGTATTTCAGTTCACATTTATTTTCAACTTCTAGCCTTTCTTGGGCATGAACTTTTTGTACCACTAAATATTTTTTTTTTTTACAGTAGTTGCTTGTTGAACACATCACTTTTAGTCTCTGATTTGGTGTGTTTTGGTTATGTTTCTACCCCATCTATTTCTTGAGGTTTTCAACACTTCTGACTCTGAAATTACTATTTAAATATGTGCATTGAAATAACAGTAGTCTTAAATCAGTCTTCTCTTACTGCATGTACAGTATTGTATACTTGCACGTGTAAGGTCAAAGTAGCTCTTGAATTCCTTTATGTGTACATTTGGAAGAAGGAAAAAAATCATTGGTGTGTTAATCAGTCATGCTGAAACTTGATGCTAAGCTTACTTTCCAATGGAAGTGAATTCTTAGTTGTGAGAGTCTTAACTAGGCAACAATGTGTCTTGATAGTAATTTGATACACTCCTGGCTTGATCTGAGAACATCGCACAAGTTGAGATGGGGTGGCTGTGCCTCTCACTGCGATGCCTGGTTAGTGGTGTGAAGCTCAGTGGTACTCACAGCTCTGTATTTGTTTTGTATTATCTGAGCTACTACAGCTGGAGACCAAAGAAATGGCAACCAATGTAACTGAGTTGCTTTGTGATTTGGAACGAGTAGTTGTGAAGCTGTCTAATTGTTCAAATGAAAGTGTTGTGTAACAGATAAGTTAGTTTTAAGGCTTTGAATATCTTGCTTGTTCTTTTCTTAGCCAAGCAAGCTTGCCCTGATATTGATGCTGAGTTTTAAATAACTTTCTTCCAAAAAGAGGGGTGTGGGGTTTTTTGTCACCTTGGTGCCTATCTGTCTTTGAAAATGTGGATTGTAAGTGAAAGAAAAAGTCCTCCTTGTACCATGTTACAGTACTTGGTGGTTGAACAGGATCATCAGCTGGGTGCTTCCTAGTACTTTCTTTCACTGCTGCTACAAACCTTGAGAATGAAAAGCAATTTACTGAAAAGAATTTGCTTTTGAAATAAAACCTCATGGTGATTAGTTAGTTGTTCGAATAAGTTGTGAGCAGGCTTATTATTTACACCTTGTTATCCTGAGCTGCTTTTCAGTGCATTGCAGCATACCTGTGAGTTGCCAAAGAGCTGGTAGTGTACACTGTCACCCAATGTCACTGCATGTCCAAAATAATTGGGGTGGACTGAATTGGTTACCTACGTGTTTACAGTCAGTAGTGCTACTATGTATTTTGAAGAATATGATATTTCTAAGATGTGTAAATTCTAAGTGTTATATTTCTAGAGGAAGAGAAATGGAAAGCAATTTGATTACTGTAGAATTAGATTAATTAGATTGATGTAAAGTTCTCAACCAATCATTGACGAAAGAGCTGCAGTTTAGTTAAAAACATTGGTAAGTGTCTGGAATTTAATTTTGTGACATTTACAAAATGTCTGAGTTTTGAGAGCTTATATAAATAAGAGGATTTTTTTTTTTTTTTAGAAATACTTGGCTTACTCCTGGTTTTGTGTGCCTTCATAAAGCAAAGGTGGGGAGCATGGTCAGAAGAGTCCATGGTGTTCTTTAAAAATTAACGACATGGAAATTTTTAGTCAAAAATAGTAGATCTCAGTAATGGGCGTTTTAACTGAAAATCTTCCTGATACATTCCGTTTCTGAATCAACTCTGAATATGAGTTGATTCTCAATATGTTGGTGATCATCCTTTTTACAGGTAGAATGCTTGTGAAATTATAAAAATCAGACTGAAGATGAAGACATTTCTCCCTCAGACGAGTTTCTTGGGGGAGCTGAAGTTTAGAAACTCTTGTTTCTTCCCTTGTGATTTTATAATCATTCTAAGACCAAACTGGTTAAATTTAAGGCTTAAATTTTAGATGGGTAAAATTGAGAAAAAGTAGTTGAAAAATTAAAAAGTTCTTAAAGATAATGAGGAATATCCAGGTAATAGGGGTTGTCAGAGACTAAATTTTTAATACTTAATTTCAAATAGCACCAAAATATTGACACAGAGCATTGCTTATGACATCTTAATATAAAAATCTTACAATTTTTATTAAATGTAATTTAATTTTTACACATTTATTAGCAATAGGTTTAAAGTGTTTTTATGTTCTGTACTTGTGAGAACAATGTTCTTTTCCTCTAGTTAGAAACCCTTTCAGTAGTATTTCAGTGCAATGTAATTAGCTTCCAGCTGATGTTTTGCAGTTGTGGTAAACTATTAGTTGGCAAAATAACGTACCATAACTGTTTTTAAGAATTAAATAAGGCTAAAAATTCTTATGAAGTTATTTTAATTAAATTGAGTTGGTTTTGAGAGTCCTTAAATTCTTTTAAGTAATTGTTTAAGTTGGGTTATGAACTAGCTTAGCTTTCATAGGAGAGGTTGATTGCCTTGTTTTGATTTTATTCTTTCATAATTTTTGTAGTAATGGCATGCTATTTTAAAAGAAATTAAGATTTTTCATGAAGGTTTGAAAAAATGTTGAGCAAATAACTTAATTTTTTGTTGGTAATATTTCTAAGCACACAATCAGTAGGTGATCCTTTATATTTAATGGGTTCTAAAAAAATGGATTTTCAAGGCCTTTTTCTTAAAACCTGTTAGCTCTCTCCTAATATTTTTACAGTCAGTTGTAAGCATTCATGAGCTAGTTTGTCTTTATAAGCAGAACAAGGCTGTGGGTGTAGTTATATTTTTCTTTGTTTTCTGAAGAATGAAAACAAGGCTTTGATCTTGGCAAGAGAAGAAGGGTAGGACTAACTAAACAAAATATTATGGTGACTTTTATTCAGTCCATTTTTAACCCTAGGTAGAGTGGAATGTGCTACCTGGTCTTGGAGTTGATATGTGCATGGATTACTTTGGAATTCTCTTTTTCAGGAGGGACAGAAAGCTCCTAGAATACTGGCAGTAGGAAAAGGAAGTGCCAGTAACTGACCAAGTCTTTTTGTTACAGCTGGGCTAGTTGAATGTCATGGGATCGTAAAATGTCTTGTCCTGTATGCTTTGTCTTAAATGATTCGTATGGAAAGTTTATGTTTTTTAAGTATTTGTTTCTGAAGTAAATTTTGCATGTTTGATTGAACCACTGTAATCAAAATGTAACTGATGCTATTTATGTCAGTGTTAATACATAGACTGTTAGTTCTTAACCCGGGGTCATGATCCCAGGATACTATGCTAATGCTTTACTTGGACGCACGATAATTAAATCACACAAAATCAACCCTGCAATAGAGGGAATCAAAAGTATATATTTTGAGGGGATGGTTGCTTCTCCTAACAGCTGCTAGTTTGTCAGAAAACTACAGTGCACATTATTTGTGAAGTGCTGTGTTACCCACTTTTGCTGTGTTTTTGTTACCCACTTTTGCTGTGTTTTTGTATACATTTATTACATACAGGTATGTTAAGTAGCTAACTTTTCATGGCCTAACTGTAAAAAGACTCAGAAGTCCATTGCACTGTACTATATGTAGTATGTGAGAATAAATACCTCAGGCTTCATTGTTTTGTTACTGGGTATCAGTGGCATTTAATGACTGAACAGAACGTTATGAATTCGTTACACCATTTTAATCGAAACTGCTTTTTTTTCCCCTTAGGGTCGAAACCCTTTTTTTCTGGAGCCAGCAATAATTATTACAGTTACTGATGGAAGTAAATTAACCACTACCAGTGGGATACAGGAAGAGGTAAGGTCTGACCTCTGTTTACAGTAATGTGTACTAAACATGGTGTTACACTACTGTTTAAAGTAGGAGCATAAATGCTCATTAATAGCTTAAACTTGCATGTGTTTTACTTTTAATTTAAAGTATTTTTGTGCAACAGTACTCCAAAAAGCTGAGTAACTTCTTACTTACATCATGTGACAGAAGTCTGTGATACAACTGTTTAGTTGTATCTGTTTAGTAACCTAGGTTTGCTATTTCTGTCCAGGGAGTTCATGGCTATTCAGATATTGTTAGCAGAAGAAATTGATTTCTATAAAGTGTGTGTGTCTTTAACTGGTCTAGATATTAGTTCTTTGTGTATAGATCCAAGTTAACAAACTGATTTTCCAAAGGATGTGGTCACTACAGAGTGTGTGAAACGTACCAGTTTCACACTGGATTCTTAAAAATAAGTATGTAATGTATATAATCAAATCAGTAGTCCTTATAGTCCAAGATAAGAACTGAAGAAATGTATTTCAAATTAAATCTGTAGAGCAGTTTAAAATCAAGATCTTAATGTACTGGAGTACTCACTCAGACATCTGGCAAACTCAGAGCTATACTGATGCACTGAACTATTTTTAAATTACTGGCTGTTCTGAATTCTTTCCTTAAAAAGATGGAAGTCACTAGGGATAGGGTTGGTCTGGCCAGCTCAATGCCCATTCCATGCAGTAGTAAAAAACCCCAACCAAATCAAACAACAACAAATCCCTAAGATCGTTCCCTTTCCAGGGAAAAGATTAATATCGAAAGGTCTGTTTTAAAACTTAAGAGGAGGATTCAGTCTTTTGCTTGTGCTACACCACATATGACTATACAGATTAGCTTGTCATACATAGCTGTTCATTACTTACTCAAATTTCTCCTAATAATCTATTATATTGCATTCTTACAGCACTTACAGAAGTTGTCTGTATGAAAAGTGGTATTTGAGTGTTTTTGTAATGTATCTGACTTAGAGGAAGAAAGTTGAATGACCTCATAATTCTATGTGGACTACTAACAAATGAGCATAGCCAGTAACTGAAAGGGAATTCCTGGATCCATGATAACAAGTAGGTTATATGTATAAAAACTTCACTTCCATCATATTTTTTTACCCAATAAGCTATTTTCAGCTTAATCTGGTGATTGAATGGGTGCGGTACAAAATACCAATAGAAGACACTGAAGTGTCACACTATTCTACAACATACAGTGGTGTTAGCAGCAGAGTGCTGTTCTGAGTAGTCTCTTAGCTATGTTTCTTGAGGGGAAGCATCTTCTTTGCTGCTGGATGACTAACTTGTCAAATCTGACATGGATAGTCTGGAATTACAGACACTGAGGTGCACAGAGGTTAAGCAAATGACATCTTGGTGGAGGCTGAGAACTGGGTTTGTTCAGCCTTTGGTAGAGAAGGCTGTGGTGTTTCATCACCATTTGCAACAACTTAAAGGGGCAGGGAGCCTGGCTTTTCTTGGAGGTACACAGGGCTGAAATGAGAGGCAGCAGCTGCAAATTGTACAAGAGGAAATTCTGATTGGATATCAAGAAACTTTAACTATGTGGGTGATTGAACACTGGCATAGGTTGTCCAGTGGTTGTGGAGATAGTAAAAGCTGAACTGGACAACGCCCTGAGCAGTCAAAAGGCTCTGGACTGTATAGCCTTCATGTGTCCATTCTAATGCACACAGTGCTATGATTCTGTTACATTTCCTTTCATCTTGTTCGTTATCCAAAATGATTTAGATAAGAAAGCTGTACTGTTTGTCATAAGCTCTTTTACAGCAAGAGTCAGGATTTCTTTTTTGTAGCCAGCAAGTTTTTTTTTTTCCTACCTTTTCCTTTAAATGTGGGTGCAACTTTCTTACCTTAGTCTTCACAGGAAGATATTTTCTTAGGCAACCATTTGGTCATACAGTCACATCTTTAAACTGCTGTAACTTATGTTGAGAAAAAGGGTTTTCTGGTGACTGCTCTAATCTAGTAAATTTAGGCTTGGCTCATGAGCGGTGCTGACTGGTAAGTGCATGCTACACCTAGAGTTTTAGAATGATTGTGACATTGGGCCAAATTTGATGCATAATTTGCCAATTGTTCAGTTATGTTCTAGAAATGCAGAATCTGCTTTAATGATAGTGAACTACTGATTTTTTTTTTTTTTTTGGTAAATAAGCTGATGATAAGGCATTGTCTTCTGGAGGAATGGGAAGTGACCATGGCTCTTACTTCCTGCAAGACAAAATACAAGTTTCTTTGAGTGCTTTTCCATATGTAAATACTGGGTATGTGTTTCATACCAAACAATGGACGTGATTTGATTTTTTTTTTCTCTTTTGCCATAGGTGTACTGGTAGGAACATTTTTAACAGTATCAGAGAGCAGAGGAACAAAGCATCAAAGGGTGCTTCTGTTCTTCAGGGCTCATTTTTGGCTTTTGTCTGTGTGTGTCCTATTGGTCAGAATTTTTCTTAGTGTAGCTTGTCCTTTACAGTAACCTCTCAAGTGGGGCTTGCAGAAATGAGCAAGAATTAGTATGGTAACGCCACCCTGGAGATAGAGAAGTTTGTCGTTGCTCTTTGGTTCAATAACAAAGCTTTTCAGTCACTTTCAAATGTCTGTTTTGTTCTTCGGGTTTGACTTTGGGAAGGCTTTTCAGAGTTAGAAGTGATTGTATCCCACTGGCTATGACAGGTGGTTTTACTTCTTAACATCGACTAAGGCAGTATATTTTTAATTCTTTTAAGTTGTGTACAAGAGAACCAACAGAATGTTGGGGTTTGGGTTTTTTTCTGAAAGCCTGTGAAGCCAGTATGGAACCTGGAGGCAGGTTTTCTCAAACCTTTGTCATTCAGTTGAACATTTGCGTTCTTACCGGTAAAATCAGTTTATCACTATGGGAACACTGTCATTTGCCCTAGTGTGAAGCAGTCAAGCTTAAACCCTGTTTCAGAGCTCTTGCTGAATTCTTCAGATGTCCTGTTCCTTTGTAGATTTTAATATGGGTTTTGCAGATAAAGAGGCTTTCCTGTTCAGTGCTTTGTCTCTTCTGTGCAGTTCCTCAGGTTGAAGGCTGAAATGATAGTCTGTGCAATTATGTCCACCTGCACAAGTTAGTAACGCTTCCAGTTCTGTGCCTTCTGCCAGTGCTTTCTAATACGCTAGTGCTGAGGTACTAAAGAATGCCAGCATCAGGTCTACATTCAGCAAGAGTTGTTGACCAGACTCACTTGTTCCAGTCATAACTTGAGGAGGGGACAGGCTCATACTGTTGGCAAACCATCATTAATTAGTTGGTCTCATGCTATGGATTCCTCATGGAGTGGCTTTTGCTTCTCCTGATCCCTCAAATCTGGTCTTAGCCCTTTCTTCATCTTTCCTTTAACAGATGTTTAATTTCTTGAAGGGATTTCTCTTATTCCTCTTGATATTATGAAAAAAATCATACTTTTCTAGTTTTACAGCTACTACGTTCCATTGTCCTCCTTCTACATACCCTCTGTTTTAAGAAGAAGCATTAAACTCCTGTTTGCAAGACTGAAACTGGGTTATTGGCCTATTGATGCATTCTGATGAATGATTATGCCAGCAAAAAGTATGAGCAGTGCTGCTTGGTTTCTGTATGTTGCCATTCCTATGATCATTCAGTTACAAGAGACTCTTACAGGAGGAATCAGTGATTTTCTTATGTCTTCATCCCTGAACTGTTTTTGGCATTGTCACATTGATCCTTCCCAGGGTCAATCATCTTGCATCCCTGTTGTAACAACTGCAACAAGTGGCAAGGTCCTGCTTACTTTCAGGAATAATCAGGAACTGTAAATGATCCATTATATTTTTAATCATTAGTTCCTCCAGTTAGAAATCTAGACTTGAAAACAAAATTCTGCAAGAAGTGTGGCAAATACCATTAAATGTACATTCCCATTCTTTCTCAGCCTTATTTTTCCTGTTAGTAGCAGTTTTGGTGTTTGCAGCATTTGACCCAACTCTAAAGCTCTTGATGTGTGCGTTTTTGATGTGTAACCATGAGCTCAGTGAGCACTCGCTCATGGTTAATGCTGGCATTGGAACCCTGGAGTATATCCATGACATTGACATGGTATGTCAGTTGACCTCGGTGTCTCTTTGTGGTCTTAAGTTATCTCCTATGGAAGAACAATTTGTGGCTTTCTATCTATGTGTTACAACTGCATGGAAAAAGATGGGAAAACTTAATGTTGTTGATAACTAAGTAGAGTTTCTCAGTCTATCAAGAGCTGGTTTTCTTAGTTGGACTTGAATAGAGTTACCTATCCTTAAGTCCTCTAACGATGAAATGCTGCATTTGCTTGGAATATTAGATGTGTCTTATCTTTCTGTGGGTAGCAGAAAAGCATGCAAGGAAGGTTACTTGAAGGTAGATTATTTTTTAAATAATTTTTTTTTTAGATGCAAAAAGAAAAGGTGACTGTCTCTGTATGGATATTTTCATTCAGTGCCTGATGTGTAACAATCTTTTATGAGATTTCCCAAGATGGAGCTGCCTGTAATTATCTGGGTACTAAAGCTTAAGTAGTGCTGGTACTGCCCTATTCTAATGTATGAGCTGGTATGTGCAGCCTCTGCCAGAAGATCATTACTGTCTTCAGTTCAACAACTGCCATGCCAGTGCGGAATGCTCTAATGCTAATTGTGTCTTTTTTCAACCTAGGGTCTCTAGGATCCTTTTTAAATTTTTTTTTAGGTTTTTAGACTGTGCTACTGGTTATGGTTGCATGAATGTAGGTAGAAACAAGGTCTGAGAATAAAAAAAAGACCTGCTCACCAGTAATAGCATTCTATAAGATCTCTTTGGTACAATGCTGTCCTCCACCCCCCTTGGTTCTTGAATATTTTAGTGGTTTTAAAAGCAAGGAAGAGGGGAATAAAGCATACACTGCTATCTTATTGTATCATTGTGGCATTTGGGCATGGTGGTAGGGTTTGTGTGTGCTCCTACAAACTAGTATTGAGACAAAACAGCTGGTTTCTAGTACTAAGCTGGGAGAACACTCGTGTGTGATGTACATAGACAACATGTTGAAGACCATTGCTGGTAAATAACCTCCCTTTTAATACTTCAGTCTACCTTTTTCTCAACAGCCAATATGAAAGACAAAGAGGAAAATATGTGCATGCCTTCGTATTGAAATATGCATGGGGAAAGAAAGGAAATGCAAGATATAGAATTCTAGGCTCATCTTCTGCTAGGTATGCAGTTGCTATGGTAATGCAATACCAGTTTAAAAGAAAAGCTAACTGGAGGTGAAAAGACAGTTACTGACGTCTATGGAGAATGAGTTGGTTTGAATCTGTAACTTCGCTAGTATAAAAGTTAAATAAAGGACGCTAAACTAAACTGGGGGCCCCCTGGTGGTCTAGTGGTTAGGATGCAGCACTTTCACCGCCACGGCCTGGGTTCGATTCCCAGTCAGGGGACTTCCCCGGGCAGATGGAGCTCGTCAGCCCTGTAAGGCCATCCATCTAAGAGAAGGTCACTCTAAACAAACCTACATCCTGAGGACCTCACTGCCACTGTCCAAGCTCGCTCGGCCCCGGCAGATGAACCTCAGGATTAAAGGGTGGGCTCAGTTCAGCGCACACTCTGTCTCACCTAAAAAGTCCACTGCGCAGGCTTGAAGGGTAAAGACCTTTCCCAAATCTTCGTTCGCGAAGACTGACCATGATGATGAAACTAAACTGGAATTAAATCGTGGGAAAGTGAGGGCATTTGACTTAATGATGATTGCTTTGCATGGTGTCTTCAAGTTTCAAAATATTTCTGATAGTAATATGTACGTAATGCAATGGCCTGCTCCTGAGTACTGTTTGGTTTTGGGATTGACTCAGCTGGTTATAGGGAGATAAAGAAAGCTTTTGTAGCTTGAGAGAAACTGAACTCCAGGATAGTGTTGGTGCAGGGTCCAATGGGATACTTCACATATATATAGTAAAAAATGTGTATATACTGCCTGAAGAAAAACAATGATGTTACATAGGTATGTTTTGCAGATCAAGTATACTCTTAGGAGCTAGTAAATCTTCCATTTAGTCAGATCTAAGTAGGAAAGTTTGAATGGCATTCCTTAATAGCCACAGGGGAGGACGGTGGAGTGCTTGCAATTGAGTCTTCTTACAGTCAGGATTCCAGGCTGTTTGCTAAGAATGCGGCAATTCTTGTAACTGAATTTCCTTTTCTCAGGCAGTCTTTGCTGGCCCTTTGTGTGAAAAGGGGAAAGACATGCATGTCAATCAGTAATAAACATACAGGTACATAGCTGAGTTCCCTTTGACCAGTTTCATGTGAAACATTTGGGGAAAATAGTTCTGTTCTCACATGTACTCTGTGCTTGTATAAGCAAAACCAGAAATTCAGGAGGGATCATCAGGTGTGCTTAAAAGTCCAAAATATTGTGATTCTTGGCCACATGTTATGAGAATGGATTTGTCATGTTTGTTCTAGCTTTGAGATTGTATTAATAAGTTGATTGTTTTTCGAACATGAAGACCTGTATTTTTTCCAATAAAAGATGCTTGCAATTATGTAAATAGAAATAGATGAGGTGGCTGGTGTGGAAATCAGGTTTAATGCTTTTAAGCTATCTCTTAAAAATAAGCAAACAAGAAAAACTGCTTTAACAGTGTTGTGCAAATTCCCCAACTAACCACTATAAACTAAAGATGAAGGCAATATATAATGGGTGCTTATGTGGACTTGCATCGAGTTCTGGAAAAGATTAGTACTTTCTTGCTAACATTGAGCTGAGATTGAGGATTGGGATTTTTTGAGTGCTGCATGAGAAGTGTTTGAGGAGACATGAGTTTGCTTTAGCATTTGGGCTTAACTCTTGTATTTGGTGCAGTAATGGAACTGTTTGCACCACTTGAGTCATTGCTTTGGGGATTTTTTTTTCTCCTTAATGGCTGCAGTGCTCCAAGTGAAATGAGAATTTTGCTTGTGCTAACAGTGTTATCATCAGCCAGGGATCTATTGAATTTTCTGAATCTTGTAACCGTTACAAATTTAGATTATCTGGTCAGGGCTTCTGTAGCTGAACGTGTGAGTAAGCTGTTTTTTCCTCACTAATCTGTGTGAGGTATCCGGATTCAAGAAGAGAGGACAGAATCTTCTGAATGCCTTCTGCTGTCCTTTACAAGCTGACACACCTTGTTTCAGTTCACTAGATATAAAACTGTTACCATCCTTGAAATTTTAGATGTTCTGTTACTCTCTGGCTGTTGCTGTTAGTGGTTAATAAATAATGTCCTGACCATTGCTGTATTTTTACTGCATCATGTTTGAAGTCTGACACTTGAATCTCTTTGCTTTTAATTCACAGAAAAGACAGTAAAAGAAATGCTCCCACGTATTTAGTATCTTCAATATTTTGAACTAAAACTTTTGTGTAGTTTTTCCCAGACAGAGACAACACAACAGCACATGGCAAGCAATTCTTCTTTGTATTGGTAGCTGTGGCTGCTGTTATCTATTACCTAAAAGTGAGAACTAATTTTGCGTTCCAGTGTTGATTTTAATTTTAACATCCACTTTTCCCTTAAAGCACAGACATGAGTTTAGTTGTGGGATGTACCTGAATTGTGTAGAATCTGCTTTCTGGTTCCGTAACATAGCTACGACAATAGTTCACTTGAAGCTAAGTTATTTGGAGTAGGTAATCGTGACATCTACGCTCGAGCTATATTTCTTCTGGGGTAGTCTTAGATTAACATTACCTTTTCATTCAGTTGTGCTTATCTTGAAGAACTGAGGAAAATACTGAGCCGAGAATGGGCCTGTTCCATAAAAAACTGAACAAAAGAACACTACAGTGAAGCAGCTTTTACTGCTGAAATTCTAAAGAAAATATTCTAGTGCTTCTGAAGTTTGGATCAGTTTCTAACAGTGGTTGTTACTACTTGATTTGTAGCTCTCAACATTATGTATCATGTTGCTTTGAAATGTTTGAAATCTTCATTAAATAATGGGTGTTATGCTTGTCATGTACAGTACTTGAATAAAGTTATAAATATGTGTTATATACACACATTTACAAGAGATGTGTGCTTATATAGAGTGAATTGCCATTGCTATGTGACGTGAATTTTTGTTTCTTTCTAAAGCTGTGCATTCACAGATTTAAATTCCTTTGCAGCTCCATTTACCTCTCAATTCCCCTTTACCTGGAAGTGAGTTGACTAAGGAACCCTTTCGATGGGATCAGAGGTTATTTGCTTTGGTTCTTCGTTTGCCTGGTATTACAGCACCAGAATCGGAGCAAATGACCGGAGTACCAGTGGATGACTCTGCAATCACACCTATGTGTGAAGTCACAGGAGGTGAGTGCCCTCGGTTCGTTTGACAAGTCATTACTTAAAAAATGTAAATCAGTTCAGTTTAGTTCAATTAATCTTGTTCAATTAATCTTGTGATTCCATGTCATGGAATAACACTTTCCACGTTCTTTAAAAACTCTCAAGACGCACAATATGAAGCTAAAAACACTGCATTAAAGCTACAGACAATGTAACCTGTCTAGGAAGTATGAATCTACTCTCTTTGGGAATTTTTTTAGAAGAGTACTTGCTTTCTTTCTGCTGCACCTTGATATTGCAATTAGAAATCGTAATAATTGAGTCTGTTCTGCAGTACAGTTTAGCTAAATTTTTGTCGTACTCTAACCTAAAGAAGCCAAAAGTGAAGGAAATATGTTGGTTGTTTGGGGTTTTTCCCTCCAGAGCATGCAGAACATATAATAGTTCTGCAGAATTGATACTTTTCTCTCAGTCAGAAATCATATTCTTAGCCTCTTAGAAATTATATTCCAGGTCAGACTCATGCATTGATTTTATCACATTTTAAGAACATAATGATTTTTCTGATGCATCAGAGGGGGTGTGATAGAGAGTAAAGGGATTTAAGGAGTATTCCAAAAGGATTTGATTCCACTGGTTTCTGACTGTCTGTAGGCTGTACTAACAGCACTTTGACTGAAATTCGAGGACAGTTAAGTGTTAATGTCACAAGGGGGAGCCCATTTTCCGTGAATGCAACCAGGAATTTGAATTAGTCATTAAGGGTCTAAGATCCAAGCCTTTCTGATGAGGTAAGTGTCCCTGCTTCACTAGGCTGCCTTGGTGCTTAAACAAGGAGGGACTGTTCAGGAGAAGCTTTAAATCGGTGATCTTACATAATTCAACATGTGTGGTGGTTGAACAGTTTTAAATGATCCAAGTTAAAATAAGGGCAGAAACACTGAACAGCCTTAACCTTAACTGTTTTGTTGTAGGTCGATCATATTGTGTGTGCTCTCCAAGAATGCTGAATCAGTGTCTTGAGTCGTTGGTGCAAAAAGTGCAAAGTGGAGTGGTAATCAACTTTGAAAAAGCTGGACCGGATCCCTCACCAATTGATGGTACTTGACATTTTTTACACTGGCATCAAATAACAGGGATGACTGAATATAATTTAGTGAAGTTAATGTAGGAGTTGCCAAGAAAAAGGGCAAGTGTTGCAATTTCAGAGACATCACTACGAAAAGGACCTGCTAATTCTGAAATTCTGTTGTGTTTCAAAATACTGACTGCAGTTGCTAGACATATCTACATTTGTTCATATTACTCAGGTAGTATTAAGTGCAGTTATTCATGTCAATCATAGTTGAATGGGTTCATGAGTTTTAAGCAGTGGTTTTCAACCAGCTAGAAATGTGAATGACTTCTGGAAAGACTGGGGGGGTTTATACACTTTATCCATTTTTGTTCAGTGTAATAAAGTGGCGGCACTAAGAGTTAAAATAGCAAATACAACTGTGCAATGCTAACTTCTCATTCTAAATGGCTTAGCCGGGTTCCTCTTTGGATGTTCCTGGAAGTGTCTGTGGGATTTTTTAATCTTATTTTGCTACAATAAAAAGTTAGTCCAGCAGTATTATTCACGTATATCACTTTTTTAATGCAGAAATTTGAAGGTTATCTGTTAGTAAAAATGGAGGAGAAAGGAACTGATGACTTTGAGGGGCTCGAGATAATTGGCTTTCTCAGCTATGATCCTGTAAACATTCAGTGGTTATTAGGCTTCCCATAGTCTGTGCTTTTGCAGGAATGCTTACTTACAACTATCTACTATTCTTAGAAATAATATTAACTGCAGGAAGAGCTTCCCTGAGGTTATAGTTCTTGAACTCCTCACAGAAGTTGTTTAATACTCTTCTTTAGTTTTAACACTGTTTTGGCTCATAAAGCCTTTTTCTTCTGTAGATGGGCAGGTGGAGATATCTAGACCCTTTGGACCCCAACCTTGGCACAGCTGTCATAAACTTATTTATGTCAGACCAAACCCTAAAACTGGGGTTCCTATAGGTCACTGGCCTGTTCCTGAATCCTTTTGGCCGGATCAAAATTCTCCAACGCTGGTACGTACTGAAGATAAAGCAAAGGGTTTGTGCATGTGGGAATATTCCAGGATTTTCTGTTCACCGATATTTCTAAAATCTTGAATTACATTGTAGCAACTATAAAAGCAGTATGACCCTAGAAGGAATGACATGTAAACCTGTTTTGCAGTTATCTCTTATAAATTATTGATGAGCTAATAATAGTTTGCTTTTTAGTAACTTTGAAGCATTAGGAAACTGCCTGTAACAGATCGATTTGTTGACATGTATGAAGTGTTACTGCTTTGAACCCTGTTAAATATCAAATGGTGGTACTTTGGTAAAACCCTGTTGAATTCTATTGCCTCATAGATGGCATTAATAGAAGATAGTATGATCTTCTCAATTTGAATCCTTTTGGTAGTTCTGTCATCCTAGCAAGTGAATATAGTTCCATCTGCTGTAGGTGCAGTGTAGCCATACCTTCAATTTATCCAAGTTGAGAAAACCTTGTTTTTTTCAATTATAGCCCAAAGAATGAATTTATGTCTTCTTTTTCATAAAAGAGTAGATGCCCACTGCCTTCTGGTCTGAGAACTAATCATTAGTATAGTATAGTGTATTTTTTATTTCTACTAATATCTGAAAATTATTAAAGTAGAAATAATGCAGTTGCATACTTGGTACATACTTTTCATAATTATTTTTACTGAATTTGTGTTCTTTTGATCTGAAATGGGTGTGCTGACTAGTACATTCACTGAACTTCTCATAAATTTTACCTATTCTGGTTGAAAAACATATGAAGTCCTCTGAAATACAGGAGTGATACCAGTATGAAATTTTAGTGATATTTACAAGTTTGATATTGATGGTATCTGTGGCTACATTCATTGAAGGATATGGATGCCCTTGTAAAAAACAGAGCAAGCTAGCGTATATGAGTAAAAGTAAATCTTACGTAGTTATTAAAAACACAATTGTTTAAAAGCTGTTTAAAAGGATGTTTAAAAGCTGTTCTGCAGGAAAGCTGTTCTGTGTACTCCTTGTAATGACTGTCAATGGCATATCTGCTTCTATTTGCTGTGAAGGGTCAGTACAGTTTGTCTGCTACTGCACATCTTGATTGATAAAATAGATCTTGCCAAGTGAAGAATTGTTGAACTAAATCTTCTAAAAGTATGAGGTTGACTTACCCAAATGGCAAGATGATGAGAGATTTTTTTTCTCTCAGCTGTAGTATGTATAGCTCTCATAATTCCATAAAGCCCTGTCACATGCAGATAAATTCCTGTTGACATCAATTGGAATTCTGCATTAAAAAGATTAAAATCCAAACAGTGAAATTCCTTGAATTGAAATAATCTTTTTCTCAGGCCTAGTTAAAATTAATTCTTTCCAAATTTTGGGTTTTTTTTGTGAATTCTTGCTGCTCTTAATCTTTGTAGTTCAGTTTGAATTTTGTAACAGTTAAATTTGCCAAGAAGGAAAAGTGCTGGGGGAGGTCAGCAAATGCAAATGTACAACACTTGCTTCTGTGGAGAATGAAAATGGACATGCCCTAGAGTAGTATGTAGATTGTAGATTTTTTTTTTTATTGTCCCTGCTGAGAATTACTTCCATTTGCAAAGTTTTCGTGTAAATGCAAGAAGTCTTAGTTGCATATTGCTCTAGACTTATATAGTTAAATAATTGGCATTTGTTTAGAAAATAAGATTCCTTCAGATTTTAAGGTAGTGCTAACATCATAAATTAATTGCTTAGGTCTCATTAACAATAACTATGAATCTTGTATTGAATAGATTCCTTAAATACATCTGTTTTGGAAGAAGCTGTAGTGCTTTAGTTGTCATAGTGCAATTGCATTTTAATTGTGCAGACTTATTAACAGTGGAATACTTGTGTTTAGCCACCTCGCACATCTCATCCTGTGGTGAAATTTTCCTGTACTGACTGTGAACCAATGGTCATTGACAAACTGCCTTTTGATAAATATGAATTAGAACCTTCACCATTGACCCAGTTTATCCTGGAAAGAAAATCTCCTCAGACCTGCTGGCAGGTAAGTAGAGTGCATGCTGAATCAAAGTTTTTTATAGAATGCTATTTTTCCTGGACTTTATTCTCTAAACAAAATAGAATGTAAAATTTCAGAACACAGTACTTTGTATTTACATGCAATGTGATGTGGTTTATTGCAGGTATATGTGAGCAATAGTGCAAAGTACAGTGAACTTGGTCATCCTTTTGGTTACTTGAAAGCGAGTACAGCACTGAATTGTGTGAATTTATTTGTGATGCCTTACAATTATCCAGTCCTCCTTCCACTGCTAGGTAAATACCACTTCATACAAATTTTCTTATGCAGTAGGCAATGCAAACATTGATGTCATCTAAACAGATTACTGCAATTAGTGCAGGTATTCATCACAAACCTATAGAAAGGTAGAATCAGTAACTTGTTTCACTTGTCTCCAGTTGGCTGACCTTCATGACTCAGACTCTAAGATTTGCTTAATCATCATTTTCTGATATGTTTTGGTATCACTTTCAATATTTTAGGAGCCGTTTTTCCTAATCCATTGTATCAATGCCAATTCATTTTGATAAATAATTTATCAGGTTTTATCTTTTGACTGCAGTGTTTATCTTGTGTGTGTATGTTTAGTTGTATATATATTAATTTACAGGTATTCACTTAGGTATTGGGGAACTTGCATTTCTTCAATAGTTTCTTTTATTAGAGTTTTTTTTTTTTTTTTGAGAAAATAATGTAATGCTGTCTAGATACTAGATATGCCTTTCATTTTGTCTCTTTGCTTCATGTAACCCTTAGATGACTTGTTTAAAGTACACAAGGCAAAGCCTACATTGAAATGGCGTCAGTCATTTGAAAGCTATTTGAAGACAATGCCTCCTTATTATCTTGGGGTAAGATGACTTACTGTGTTAAAATTTTTATTTTATGGTTTTCTTTCCACTATGGATGTGGTCTGTATTTCAAATAAAATATGTATTAATTCCACAGAGAATAGTTAAACTTCATAGCTAGTGATAGTGTTTTCACTGGAGTCCTGTGGGGGACCTGAGACCTGAATGTTATGAAAATTTCATAATCTCATAATACACTGTGACTTGTATATAAATGATATCTTTGTTAATAAGTGATTCTGTATGAATGGCACTATGTTTTTTTAAAAAAAAAAACACAAAATACTACCCTGAGAGTCTTTGTTCTTTTCTTACTTTGAAAACCTCAGGTTCTATTTGAAATGGATACAGTTGGTTGAAGTATCTATAAAGTTAAATGTGACCATAAATATATTCCATATTTCAGCCTTTGAAGAAAGCTGTGAGAATGATGGGAGCACCAAACCTTATAGCTGACAATGTGGAATATGGACTTAGTTACAGTGTCATTTCATATCTCAAAAAGTTGAGTCAGCAGGTAATGTTGAAGCAAAAGAGCAGTGAAAACTTATTCTAATATCAGGATAATCTTAAAATACTGAAGTTCAGTGGGTTTGAAGGAAAAAAGAGCAGAAAGATGAAGTCAATACCTTCCCATAAGCAATTGGCAAAAGATAATTTTGGTCTTCTGAATTGCAGGAAAACATAACATTTAAATATAGACTTTGTAAACTGGACTATAAAGATAGATATGGAAGTATAAAATGTGATTTTTTTTTTATTCATTTAAGGAGCATTTTTACTTGTACAGACAGTAACATACTTTTGTCCAAAAGCAAACATGTTGTTGTACCTTAGATATTAAAGATGTTTTAGGATTTTTTCAGGAAATAGAGAATTTTACTTCGTGCATCTGAATCAAAGTGTCCTTTTTTGGCTTGTGACATGAAATGGAAAGTGTTTAGTAGATAAGATAACTGACATAATTCAGAATCTCAAATGAGGATACAGATGTAGAAGTGACAAGTGACTATTTGAAATTGTTGACTGTGTTCAGAATAGTGCCCATATCTTTGACTAGTCTCCTGCACCAGCTAAAGCATTTCTGCCCTGCTACCTCCACTTTTATTCAACTGTGCATGTTAAGCTTTCTGTTCAAGATAATAAAATAGTAGGCTTGAAACTTCAAGAAATAGTAGTGCCAAGTACTTGTAATTCAGCTAATGAGCTCTTATGGATCAGTTTTTTTCTTAAAACATTAATATAAATGATTACTTGAGGAAGCAAATGTCTTGAAGTTTACAGCGTGTTCTGTTAAATCAGTCATGTTGCTCAATACTCTGTGAACTGATGTCTTAACGTAGACATCTTTGACTCCTCTAAAATGTGATGACATGCACTGCAAATTGTACTTAAAGCTTTTTGAATTTCTGGAAGGCCCTACCAGTAAAGACTGACTATTCTCAATAAGTACATATTCAAATTTTGAGTAGTCTATAAATTAGTGAAATTGGAAAAACAAAATTGGCAGGTATATTACTAAATTCCTTTGGGTCTTTGTTCCACTGTATTTTGTCAAAAAGCTGGCATTTATGAATATGTTTAATTTTGGTGCAAATCTAACACGATATTGAAGGTTATGTCTGTCTAGCCAAACAGAATCAGGTATTATCATATATTTCATTTTTAATAATGTTATGATTATTTGTATTAAGCTTCTAAAAAGTTGATACCATTGGGTGACTGATCACAACTATAGTTGCAGGAGAATCAGTCTTGTGAGAGACTGTTTTCTACAATAACAGCTGAACCCTATATGAGTACAGGTAGATTTTCAGAGAATTACTAGTCAAATTACGGCATTTTATGAAAATAAAAGCATTGCATGCATATTGGTGCTTAGATACCATAATGGGCAGCAGAGGAGAAATATGCAGAAGACCTAGGCACAAACTGTTCACTATATTTAAAATTATAGTAAGCATTAAGTGGTTATGTATTAAGTACTCCTTAAGCGCTCATCCTGGTTATGGTCATCATAGTGTTTTAGCACGTTGTTGAATCTTGTAGGTAGGAATTTAAAATGAATAAGTCTGACTAATCCTTTTAAGAGCATATTGTCAATTTTATTTATTTATTTATTTCAAATTAAGGCCAAAATAGAGTCCGATAGAGTCATTGGCTCTGTAGGCAAAAAGGTAGCGCAAGAGACTGGAATTAAGGTCAGAAGCAGATCACACAACCTGTCTATGGCACATAGGAACGATTTTCAACATCTGCTACAGGGGATTACTGGGGAAATTCCTCATAGACCTCTAGACCTCAATATGAAGGAGTATGCTGGGTTCCAAATAGCTTTGCTGAATAAGGTAAGCACCACTGTGTGTAATGTTGTTATTTTCAATATACTTCCATTGAAATGCTAGATATTGTTTTTTACATGGCATTAATTGGGACTTCATTTACTGGAACCATAGGATTTGAAACCTCAGACTTTTAGAAATGCTTATGACATACCCAGAAGAAATCTTTTGGATCAGTTAACACGAATGAGATCTAATTTACTGAAGAGTACTCGCAAGTTCCTGAAAGGACAAGATGAAGGTTAGATAACAGTTTGTTTTGTCTACCTGTGATATGATTATTACTTAAAAACAAGGTAACAAATAGTGTAGTTCTTTAAAACTTGGATGTCTGTTGCCATTAAACTGCATGGTTTCTTAGATACTTTTCCCTTAAATAGCTCCCTGGAGGAAAAATGGTGAGGATAGAGAAGATTGCACATTCACTGCTCTGTCCTTCAATCCATATGAGGAAACCTGGGCTTTTACAGAATATTCTTTTTTCAATTTTTTTTTTCTTACTTTTGTGGATGTATTGGATGAAAAAAAAAATCACAGCAGTTCTGAATGTTATGATCTCTCTCTATAGAAGTGGATTGTGAACAGTGGAAAATAAGCTAGCTCACTGGTTGTTGCCAGTGTCATTCTTTTACCTGTTAGGCCAACAACAAATAGTTCAGTAGTCTGCTAATTATTTCTTTACCTTTTTCCTGTGTCTTCTGGCACTGCTTTATGGCATCTAACAGAAGATCAAAAAAGTGGAGAAGATGAGAAGGGTAATGCAAATGAACACATATGTTATATTAGTCCTGCCACTACTTAGGTCAGATTAACATCTGTGCATTTCACATTATAGTACCACTTTGTCAGAGTAGTTCTTTGAGGAGGGGTTTAAACTACATAAAAACTCAAGTTAGGGCTTTTTTCTGCTAGTTCTTCTGATGCATGTTTTTCTGGATCAAACCTTGGCAAATCTAAAGCCATAACAAGTTTAGAATTGGGTTGTATGGATTTTTAAGAATTTGCTGACTGCAGTGGTCAGAAATCACCCTTGCTTTGGTAAAATGCTAGTCTTGACAATTAAATTTTGGGTAGCTAAAACTGGGCAGTTATGTCAAAGCTGTGTACAGCATGGCATGACTGCTTTGCGTTAATATATCTTTTGTATTATTGTTTTAGTTCTGATTTGTTCCCAGTCTGTTTTTTCACCCGTCAACCTGTTGAAAAGTTACAGGACACATGGGAAAACTAACATCCATGCCTAACAACTATTGCTTATTTCCTGTCATAATGATAAATCCACAAGACATGTACTGATTCATTTAAGCAAATTGCCTGCAGTGAAAACAGTGTTATAAATACCAGTTAGGCAAGAAAAATGGTGTTTTGCACACCTGTTCTGTTAATGCCTTTGATGAAAGTATGAAGGCTGAGGTGTAAAGTGGGTATAGACTGAATTCTCATAAGGCAAGCAGTGGTGTATATTAATAAACTTTTCTATTATGATAGATCAAGTTCACAGCATACCTATAGCACAAATGGGAAACTACCAGGAGTATCTAAAACAAATACCTTCTCCACTCCGAGAACTTGATCCTGATCAACCACGACGGCTTCATACATTTGGCAATCCATTCAAATTGGACAAAAAGGTGACTTTTCTGTAAAGCTTTTTAAAAAATGTGTGATTGTGTATACTGCCACTTACATTGCTCTTCTTGAGTAGTCTGTTGGATAAACCCTTTCAAATATTTTTAAAAGCACTCCTTACAAGAAAGCATCTCAGATGTTTTTCCATCAGTAGTATTATATAGAGGGCAGTCTTTATTGAAAAACCAGTGTTATATCTCTAAATTATATTATAAATATAATACATTTGTCTCTGTAGTATAGCTAATATTTAATCGTGTTTTATTTACCAAGCTTCCACCAGGAAAAGCTTCCCATAACTTCAGGAATCTGGACTGTCCCTTCTGTCCAAATCTTTCTTAGAATTGACCAAACTGCCAATATAGTTTAGAGCCTTTGTATTAAATGTGAGTTGCTTTGGAGTTACTGAAAAGGAAGTTTGGCCCACTCTGTCTTACTTGGCAGACTGTTGGATAGGGGCCTTAAGCACATTGATTTAGTCTTGGAAGGATTTGGTTGACACTTTATAATTCCAAACATAATGGCATGTTGTATGTAGCTACCTTATACATACTAAACATTATCGTAATATCAAAGCATTAATTGTACTTTGTAGTTTTGGTGTAAAGTTTAAGAATTCTTCCTGTTAATTAATTACAGGGAATGATGATAGATGAAGCAGATGAATTTGTATCAGGACCTCAGAATAAGCATAAAAGACCTGGAGAACCAAATATGCAGGGGATTCCAAAAAGACGGCGCTGTATGTCCCCCCTGCTCAGAGGCCGACCACAAACTCCTCCGGTTGTGAATAACCACATTGGAGGAAAAGGGCCACCAACACCAATTGCACAAGCACAGCCTGACCTTGTTAAACCTATTGCTATTCACAAAAGTAAGTGAATCTTCAACTTCAGAGTTTGCTGTTTAATTTATGCAAAAAAACTTGTTTGTGTCAAAATACTGCTGGTGATTTATCAAATAGGGCAGTTTTATACCTTGTTTTTGAAAATGAAGTATTTTAAGTGTGTGTCTGGGGTTAATTACAGAAAGAGTTCATACAGTCCTTCAGACAGAAGTCTCTTTTGTATGAATTCCAGGTATAAACAATATATTTCCTGTACTAAAGGAAGAGACAATGTAAACAGGGAGAAAGTGTTGCTCCTTTGCCTGGAAATTCACATTCACAAGTATCACAACATGAAGTTATTTTGAATTTTCTTCTAATGCAGTGAAATCACTTCCCTTATTCTAGAGTTGAGCTGCTGTTTAACAGTCTTGCTTGCTGTTCAGTACTAATGTAAGCTTGTTCAGCCATGTCATAAAAGCACATCTTACAGGTGGTTTTTGTTGGTAGTTCGTAATTTCCTTTTTTTTGTATGAAGAATATACGTGTGATTTCTTTTTTAATTTATTTTAAAAGCCATTAATTGCCAGAAGATGTAGTGATGGGCTCAGTGTTATAACCCACAAACAGGTTTTCTTATGCCTGGTGTGTACAGTAGACTGACTATACAAGCTGGAGCATAGTTTTAAGAGTCCAATACTGACCTGACTCACTGACTTCTATCAAATGATGAAGAATGTAAAACTGGCAAGTGTAATCTTTGTTTTTTCAGCATCAGAAACAAATAATGAAGTTGCAATTGATGATGTCATTGAGAATCACGTTACAGGCCCACTTTCATCAGATGTTTTCCCAAATTCTGCGGATTCAGAGTTTTCGCTGTCTTCTTCACCATTCAATTCTTTGGATCGACCAACAGCTCACACAGATGATGTGGTCCGTGAGCATTTAGGGAATAATTTGAATGTTGATGGGTTTTTGGAGAATCATGAGGAATCAGGTAGTAAAGAACAAAGTACTGAAGAGAACTTCGCAATGTCTTCACCCACCAAAGGGAAAAAACCAGTTCATTGCAGAAGTTCCAGAGAGATCAATATAGACCTAAGAGCACAAATTATGAAAGAGATCCGAAAACCAGGAAGGAGTAAGTATACCAGATGTCTTTCAGATGATTGACATGAGGATTAAACAAAGAATTCATATTAGATTACCATTTTAGAAATGTACTGAACTATAAGACTGAAGCAAAATACATTTAAAGCTGAAAAGGTTTGTTTTAAAACCTCTGCCAAAAACTTCCTGTATGAGTGATTGAAATATTGCTATACCTATCAATGTTCATGAAAGCTGTGGTTTTTGTATCATCAGTATTAGACTTAACTTGTTAGATGTTCCAGTAATACCCTAAACTGCAATAATCTGTGTTCTTTCATGTTAGTTTTCATTAAACAGTATGTCATTACTGTGATTGATAGGAGATACAGCCTGAAAGCTTACAGAAACTTGAAGTTTGTTGCATTTCACTCAGATCTATTCAAGAGATATCTGTATAGGCATTTTTAAATAACTGATTTCTCTCTTTTCTTTACCTCAAAGACTATGAAAGAATCTTCTTTTTACTGAAACATGTTCAAGGAAGCTTACAAACCCGACTGATATTTTTACAGAATGTTATTAAAGAAGCTTCAAGGTAGGTAACTGAATTGTATTAATCTTATGAACTGCACCATGTAGTGCTATACATAACTGCTTGACAACCATGCAGTTACTTGTTTGGAAACAATGCACTGCAAGTAAGTAATTCCCTATGAAAAAACAGATATGCTTAAGCTTCTTGAGGTGTTGTTTGCACAAGCTTACCTTTTCCCCTCAGATTTTGTCTTAAAAATTTAGCAACTGTAACTGTCAAGTCACTGTAAACGTGGATGGACAAGGGGATAGAAAGAGTAGGTAACTTTAAAAAGATCATTCAGATTTCAAAGTTCAGGTGTAAGTATACTGCTAATTTGAAAATCTGATGGAGTTGCATATTACTGTGAGTTGGGCTTTCAGAAACAGTTTCTGCATCAGCTCAAAATCTTGTCCTAAAAATAGTCTTGACATCCAGGTATGCTCTGTAAACATGTGTCTACTCTTTAGACATTTAATTCCGATATTATAGTCCTGTCTGAGACTTTGGAAATGGAGGTAACTTTTTACTGGAGAAGAGACTTGCTGAGGATTTAAACTCTGTGTTGTTGATCCAGGTAGAAACTGTTCCTTACAGTATCCTGTAGATAGACTGTCCAAACTTAACCTTCTGCATATTAACTAAGAAGAAAGAAATGAAAAACATATTAGAACCAATAATGTTTGAGTTGCAGGGAACTAGTAATTCCAGCAGCTTGCTTGGATCATAAATATAGCTAACTTTAAAGCTTACTTCCAAAACCTCAAAGAATAGTTGCTTTTTCTTTCTCTGTTCTATTTTTGTAGCAGTCAGCTTTTTTCCTGTGGCATTATTGAACAAATTTTATGATCAAAAGACAAAGTAATTTTTGGATAAAACCGTGCTAAGAGTTTAAGGTGCATTGGACATTTGTACAGATCCTCTAGCCTTTATTGTCAGCTTGGCGAGGCATGTAAATTTATATAGATCATGCTCTTTCTATAGCAACGATTACTTTATCATGCTTTTGTCTGGTTGATATATTGCCTGTCAGAGTTGTTGCATAGCTTGGAGGTTAAACGTGCTTCCTCACTGTCATGGCACACCAAAAAATAGTGTTTCTCTTGGAGTTTGTGGCAGCCTTTGGTGGGGTTAGAATATTTGAGTCTGTAAAATTAGACTCTTAAGATCACCTGTAACTCATTTTTTTTCTGCACAGCCTCTTTGTTAAACCTATCTTGAGTTGACACTTTTTCTGCGACCTTTGGTAGTGATTGAGTGTTGCTGTTGAATGCATCAGAATTAAATCCTGTCTCCTACCATAACCTACAGTTTTCTGTATCTACTGGTGGAAAAGGCTGGCTTTTCTTTGTTTCTGGTTGTTGTTGTTTGTTTCTGATTGTTGTTAACTTCAATTTTTATTGATTCGAGTGTAGGAACAGCTTGATCTCCCTCCTCCTCTTCTCTTGTTGGTTATGTTTTTATAGTGTGATCATTTTATCCACCTGGATAACACTGCCTACAAACCCTGTTCACTTCTCTGCCTCTTTCCTTATCCAGGAAAGCTATCACAACTCAGGTTTCCTGCTCCCTACAGGAAACATCTCTAGGCCTTCCAGAGCTGTCAACCTAGTTTTGTTTTGTTAACTGATAGTTGACTTTACAATGCCATGGAATGCAATTCAAATTTGGGATGACTGCTTTTGTTCCCTGCTCCAAGAAGCTCTGTCTCTGAACACAGGCTAGGGAAAGCTCTGGATCACTTCAACAACAAAATGTGTTTATAAAGAGCCCCATTCAGTTTTGGAGGTTAGTCCACTATAGTTGTTAAGGGAGAGGAAGATTTATGAAACAGTCCCAAGCTTTCAGCTTCCTTTGGAAACTGACTGGCCCACAGTTCCTCTTTTGGCAGCAGAGAACCTATCACTTTTGAGAGGCAATGAGGAAAAATGGAGGGGAAGCAGTACTTAAATGTGGTATGTCTGTGGGATACTGAGGACAACTGTAAGAAAGATGGGTAAGAGGCCAGAGCATGGGTATTCACTGACATAGCAGTTGGGAATGGGAGTTTGTTTTCCCCATAGTCAAGCTGGGATTGTGAAGATTCCTGTGATAGGGAAATTAGGGCAGATACCATGTCTCTGTGAGCCAATGACATGGACCAGGATGCCTGACTGGAACCTAGAGACTTTTGCTGGGCTTTAGTGAGGCCAGAGAACTGAACTTGGTGTATAGTTCAGAATGTTTTCATTGCTGCCTATCTGTGAGCACACATGTGGCTACCAAAGCATTGGTCAGAAGTGGCTTCTCAGCCCTTCCCCTTGTGACATTTCTGCACCTATCTGGAAACAGCAAGGAGTCTTACTTGTTGAGGCAGGGGGTGTAAGCAAAGGTGACAGAATGGCCTACTGTTTAGATTTATTCAATCTATACAGAATAGAACTGCAGAGACTCCAGATGTATGGATTATGCCTGTATTTTTCTTTAATTTCTTTCTCAAAATCTAATTTGTATTTTTGTCAGGAAATCTGCTCTGCATTGTGTAATGGCTGTTCCTTCACCAGTACCAACTTCACTAACCTTCTGTGAATGCACCATGAAGGCATGCAAATAATTTCTAAAAGCTTTTGCCAGCTTTAGAGTTACAGTTCTTTTGACAGATATTTTACTTCTGTATTTCAGAACTACTTCTAGAAAAAGCAAACACTTAACTTGCTTTTACCTGGATTTATGAGGGCTGAGTGATGTTCAGCAATGTGCTAGAGTAGACTGTAGTAAACGTAGTTTTGTATTCATTAAATGGAAAAGCAAGTTAGCAGTTAACCAGAATGTTAGGAGAACAGCGTATATACATACGAGATATTTGAAGTCTCACCATGTACTGGTCCTAAAGTAATAACTGAGCCTTCCAGAGTTCAGGAGAAGTTTTCTGAATGATGTTTCATGTATTACTGTGTGCATCCATTATCATGTTTTCTTTTAAATACAGGTTTAAAAAACGGATGCTAATAGAACAGCTTGAAAGTTTTCTGGAAGAAATCCATCGCAGATCCAATCAGGTCAACCATATCAACAGCAGCTAGGAAACTGCACACAAGAGAAAGCCACAGCAGGGCACTGCTGTCCTTAATTGCATTCATTTTTGACATGCACTCTTATCTCCAAGTTCCTGTACCTGAAAGAATGAGCTGCTCTATAAAATGATGAGAAGAGTATCCATCATCTTTCTTTTTTTTTTTTCCACTTCTGTTATTTTTGTAATGTGAAAAATACTACGAAAACACTTTTATTTAACTAAATGGAGAACTTCTTGCTTGTCATGGACATAAGTGTCACTTTCCCTCAGGTTCTATTTTTCTTAATCCAACCTTCAAAACTATCACCTCTTAAGGTTGAACTTTGCCAAAAAGTTGCTTTGTAATTTTCAAAAAAAAAAAAGCACATACATTAAGCAAGGTAATGTTTTGTATATACAGTTATTTTGGATATATTATTGTAAGTTGTATAAATGTATTTTGAAAAATATTTAAGAAAAGCACTTTTGTTATTCCATCAATAAAATCTCTATTTTAATCTTTGTGTAGGTTTGAGTACAGTTTTTGTTGGAGTGATTAATTTTGCCTTCCCTTTTCAGAGCTTATATATTCTAGTATCAGTGTTAAAGAATTAAGTGTTTTGTATTACTGGGTATTCCATTAATCAGAGAATGGGTGAAAGAAAGCTAATGCTGAATTGCAACTACAGTAGGATGATATATTAGCCCTTCACTGTTTGGTGATGTTCTGTATGCACATTTGCAGCAATGACAAACTCCTCAGTTCTACTGAGAGATAGAGTGGGGTAAAGCATGAGTCAGTAGGTTGCACAGGGTTATCCTGTGTCAGAAGCTTTTATGTGTTTACAAGTGCAGGAATAGCCAGAAGGTGCTGCTGCTTGGACACAAAATATCACTGATTGCTTTACTGGCCTTGTCTTTCATCTGTGCTAGATGTGCCCTGAATTTCTAGAAAGCTTTGTTTGATTCAGTGGGAGCTAAACCTCTCTGCTTTTCGTAGGAGTCAGTGGTTTGCAGTCTTCACCCAGAATCTCTGGGCCTTGGCTTCTGGTGCTTGTACTGTGAGTCACTGAACACTTGCTGTATCCCAGCTTTTGTCAGGATGCTGAAAAAAACTCACATTTTCTAGATGATTTTAGCTTCATTCAGTGTTCTTTGGGAATGTCCATTTTATGTTGCATACACTTCAAAGGTAGTAAAGGTAGTACTGCACTTTTTTTGGTAAAAATATTTGTTTGGTCACTGATTGAGTTGGGTATTTCTGCTTCCTATCTGCTCTGTCTGGAATAGGCTGCCCAGGGAAGTGGTGAAATGGCCATCCCTGGGAGCGTTCAAAAAGTGTGTAGATGTGGTGCTTAGAGACTTGGTTTAGTGGTGGATTTGGCAGTGCTGGGCTAATGGCTGGACTTGATAATCTTAGACACCTTTTCCAGCCTTGATGATTCTATGATTCTGTGCCAGTTGTGAAAGTCTGTCAACTATTTTCTTTTCACAGCATCATGCTGTTTGCTTGATACCTTACTATCTCAGCTGGATTATATCTGTCTGGGGTCAGACTAAATTTCAATTTTATTCTTGAGCTTTTGACTTCAGGACAGGGAAATGAAATTGTGCTTGAAAAATAACATCACAAAACTTTCTTGTAGGATGCTTTCATTCAGATGACCTATATACTCAGCAACAGTCAAGCTTTTAGCCATGATGAAGTTAAGTAGCAGCTGTTTGCCCATACTGTTAAATATTTAGGGGGCAAAATTTGTTCATTTTTTTTCAAATGTTTATATGCTTACTGTCTTTGCTGTAGTTGTGATGCTCATGATTCCTAGACAGCTTTAAGTTTCCAACAGTATGTACAGTGTAATAAAGTAGTGGAGGGCTTACTCTCACTTTTTCTTGCAAAAGTGTTACTGCTTAAAGCAGTGTTTTAATAAATACATATAATGTAGCCTTTAATTTCTTTGGAGGAAAGCTCACCATAGGAGGAACAGAAGACAGTTTATTTGTTTAGTGCTTATTATGAAGGATTTGTAACTCTTCCTATAAAGAGTACTGAACCTGTAAATGAAAACAATATTAATGTTATTTCAATTTAGGGGCTCACTTTCAAAGTGTAGTTCAGTTTAAATACATAAACTAAGCATGGAATTAGCAAATCATGGAATCACTCGTTGCTTATATGGAAAAACTGACTGCAATTGCACCCTTGTCTTAGAATAATTTGAACATTTCTGTATTAAAAGCAAAAAGACCGTTTCAAATAGTTGGTAGCCCAAACTAGAAGTTTGCCGAAATCTGAAACCTCCCCAAACCATTGGCTAAAGAATCACTTCTGAACTGAGGAAAACAGAGCCTGAATTTGTTGCTTTGTGTTGGTGTTTTAGTTACAGAAGAGGTTATTACAACCCCTTGAATGAAATCACTGCCTCAGATACATTGGATTTGTTGTTGTTTGTATTGCTGTTACCTTGCCTGTCCTTCAAAGGGAATGTGTTCAAACGTGAAATTCAAATTAAAAAACTTAACTTTTTAAATTATTTTGAGCAGAACTATGCCATTTTAAGTCTTGGAAAATATATTTCTACTATTACTAGAAGATTGATGCAGTGAAGACTCTTGGTCTACATAAAAATTCATTGTGAACTTATGGACATAGTGAGTTTTAAGCACCTCTGGATAGCTTGGTAAAATATACTAACAGTCTACTTTGTTTACCCTTTCCCCTTTTCATAACTGAAAAAATTGTCACTAAGTCTGAGCAAACAAAATTACTCCATTAAAAAGCTAAAAGTACAGAAATGTACTTCTGATTTTGAGTTGATTGGAAAGTATTTTATACTTCACATAAAAATCTTGTTTTATAATCTGATTTCCTTCCTTTATATGACATATATTATAAACTGAACCATTTTATTTACCAAAATCAGTTTGTTCTTAATCCTGAAGAGTCTGTGGCTCAGGCTTCATAGATGAGCTTATTGATGCCTTTTTTTTTTTTTTAAATTCTGCGTTAGCCAACTAAAAATAATGTTGTTCATTAACTGGTAATGATTGCCAAAGCATATTTAAAACAAAATGTCCACCAAGGTGTAGTGATTTTTCTCTTTAAAAATAGCTGCTTGCATTGTGATGTTGAAATGTTAAGATACGGATTTTTAAAGCAGAATATTGCGTACACAGGTATTCACTGTCTAAGAGAAGTGTGTTGCTTGGAAGCAGATAAGGAAAACTATTCTCTGTGGTCTTCTTGTTAGGCCCCAGTATTTTACTGAACCCTATAAATTACTGTGTTCCCCACTTATGAGAGAAACTTGGTGGTTCGAAGGATTTATTTAAGCTGCAAATTTACTGCATTGCTAAGAATGGTAAGAGCTGTTGGAGATGGCCTGATGCTTCAGAGGAGCAAATACCTACTAAATGGTGCATAATGCAATTTTTATTATTGCCAGCGAGCTATATAGTGTTTTCTTTTGGCAGAGATTCTGGAATAATGTGATTGGACATCTGAAATGAGACAATAATACTGAAGCTAAAGGAGCACTGTGATGCTTCTCTCTCAAGACATGCTCTGCAGTTTTGTTTGTGTTTTTGGTTGGATTTTTTTTGTTTGGGTATGGGGGTGGTCAAGAGTTACCAGTTGCAAAAGAAATGCTTTTTTTTTTTTTTTTTTTTTGGCAGAAGTCTGTTTGCTATCAGTATAGGCATGAGTAAGTTTCATTTATAGGGAAAGATCTCTATTTTAACTATTTCCAATGTTAATCTGGCCAGTTTGTAATTTTAATAGCCCTGTGGAGTTCAGTACTTAATGCTAGGGCATTTAAAATCTTTAAGATCTTTCTAGTGCCTAAAGCTGTTGTAGAAATCTCTGAGCTTGTACTGCACCCAGAGAAGAGGCTAATCTGACTTCTATGAGTCGTGCATTCTTTTTAAGGAAATTAAACCATAGTCTTTATGCTTTAAAAACCCAAATCCCACTGTTCCCATGTTTGATGAAATTTCCTGGATTGAAGAATGGCAGGCTATTTAGAAAGAACTTGTATTGATTTCAGTGCTACTTGTGAAGAATTCTGCTCCTGAAAGGCAGAGCATGCATACCTGTACTAGCTTGTCTCAGAAAAAATGTGAAGGGTCGGTCTGCTTTGAAAATAGGTGTTCGAGATCTTTTTAGTAATACCATTGCTGTAATGCAACAAAGAAAAAACATTAGTAATATGCATCCCTTTTCTTTGCATCTTCTGTACAGTGCCTTCAAGCTCTGATGTTTAGTACCTTGAGTTTTGAGTTGCTCCTCTGCTTTAACTATAAACCAGAAATTTTATCCAACAGTGAAATCAGTCTGAATTAATGAGTCCAGAGTCGTGAGACTACATGCAGGTGATTTGTGTGTATTTTGATGCTGAAGTGAGTCCTTCTGGCTTTGGATTTCAAAGGTAATGTAATTTTTGATGTTGTTGCAGCCCTAACTCTTCTGAAGTCATACCATGCTATTGCCTCACCTGTTAGCCAATTCTTGGCTGTGCTGTTCTGATAAAGATAAGCAAGGCACAAATGTAGTCCCTTTTCAAATTGGGAGACATGGAGCAGGGAAATATCTGTCATCCTGGAATTTCCCTTGTCAGAGCTCTGAACAAAACTGAAGTATCCTCAATCTCAAGTTATGATTGATTTTCCCTTCTCTGTTTGTGGGTTAATTATTACATTAAATAAAGAATCCTTAAGAATTATGATGACTCAGCTATTATTAAAATACATCTTCTTTAAATAAATTATTCCTTGTAGCTATGTAGTATTAAGAATGCATTGTCAAAACACCCCAATGCTAAAACCAGCAGATTTGGATTATTTTTTGAGAAGTTAAAACAATGGAATTAATTTGAAGACTCAAGACACAGTAAAACTAGTTTGAGAGGCAGTGTTTTAATGCTCATTAAAAAAGTGCCTGTTTTTGCTTTCAAGCCACCAAGTGACTAGATCCAGAACTTTTAAAGTAAACAAACATATTTTAAAATCAGCTTCTTAGTTTGGTCTGACTGGAGTTAAGGGAGTTTTGGCATTTGTTTCAATGGGATAAAGATCTATTACCCTCAGATTGAAGCCATCTAAAAGCTTTTATTTTGTGTAGGGATTAGTAGAAAAATTATGAGAAGTAATAGAGAGGAAAATCTTTTCAAAATTTAAAACTACAGCTCTGCAGAAAGGTTAACTTGGTTACGTCAACTGTTCACTGTACACCCACCTGTGTACTACATGTGTCAGATTCAAAACTGTTTCTAGAGAAATACTATAAATACACCAACTCAGGTGTGCTCAGGTTCCTTTTGGCATTGTGACTGTGGGACATTTGAGTGAGGGAATGTGCACACTGCAGTGAGGTTCACTGCTCTCTCTATGTGCCTCTTGAATTCCTTCCTGGAAGCAAGGAGGAGAAGTGGGAGAGACTCAGATCTTGCCCTGATCCACAGTCAAGGACCACCACCAGCATTTGCATTGTGCGTGTGGAGCATGTCTACAGTTGGCACAGCCCAGGGAAGGAGAAAGATGAGAAGTGAAGTGGTTAATGATCACCCTGCTGCTGTGCTGATATTTGAATGGCTTGAGGGCAAGTTCAGCCTTTTCAGAGAAGGAATGGAAGGGGTTTAGGATTACAGTTGCTTTCCATGCTTGCTTGGATCATCTGAGGCTTCCAAAGACAAAACAAGAAAAGCAGGGGCATTCTTTGATAAGGCTCATGTGACCAATTAAAAAAAAGGGAGGAAGACACAGCTCATTAATTTTGGTTCCCCTGCTTTATGTAAATTGCGTGAAGGATTTCAGCTGGTGAAGGTAATTTACTGGCTGTGTAGTCTGTAGCTGAGATTTTACTCTGAATCTCCCTGTTCACCCAACCCCAGCTGCTCATGAGGAAATGATCCTGTAGCAGAAGCTACTGCATGTGAAGGTCACACTTCAAAGTATGTAAGAATCAAGCCTGTCTTCGTAAAACTTTCCCATCATTACTTTTAGTGTTATCAAAGAGATCATCTTCAAATCTCATAGCAGTTCAGGCACTATAGGTAAAATATTACCAAGCTTTTCTCATTATTTGTTTTTATGGTCTGGATAAACATATTTGACCAACAGAAAAATAAGTGGTATATTTTCTCAAACAGAATTTTCCCTGGGTTGATAAAGTTGTTTTTCATTAGAGCCATTACATGTTAGACTGAGATGAAAAATTACAGGTTCTTACGAACATTTACAAAGGTAAAATGGAAGTGTGTTAAATATAAAAGTTTAAATTTAGATTAGGCATACGTTTAAATGCTACCGTGCTTGCTTGCTTTATTTTAAATAAAAGGCTAGTAGTTGGTTTTGTAAAAGGCTCCAGAAATGACAAGTTATGTCTGTATATTTGATTTACCTGTAGCTCCTGATGCCTTTGTACCATCTTCTGTTATTTCAATCTCTGCTTTGTGAATAGCTTCTGAAATGTAAAGACTATCTTGATCTGAAAAAAAAACATGTTAATAGTTATTTTCTGAATTCCATTACAAACTTATTTTTAAAAATAATCAGAATGCTTTTGCCTTTTTTCCTGCAGAATCTAAGGATCATATAACTGTTAGGTATTTTAACCACCTAAACTGGTTTTCCCCTATATGGACAACAGTGGACTGAATGCTGGATGGGAGATACTAGTTTGAGAGGTCTCCAGATTGTGGTAGAAGGCAAGGTTACATGGTGAAAGTAGAAACTAATTAACACAGTGAGGACAAGGCAAGAACTGAGGAACCATTGAAAGGAAAACAACAGGAAAAAAATACTCTTCAGGAAGAAACAATGGGACTGTGACATAAAATGGAGCTTGGAAAAAAAACCTGTTTCAGAAAGCTACTGAGTATTACAAGCCTGCTTCTCTCCAGCTGACTGTGGAGGGCAGAAAGCAGGGAAGGTTGGCGGACTTTTTTTTCTTGTCAAATACTTCTACAAGCCTTATTCTCTGATGGAAGCTACCAGGGTGCGTACAGAGGAAGGAAGCTGCTAAATTATATTGTTTATGGAGTTAATTTCCTCCAAGCATGTGTCTTATTTAAATAGATATTAACTTTATAAAATACATCTTTGCACACTTCATCAGTATATTAATACTTGTTTGCAATAAACAAAGCAGCAGGCTTTAACAAAAAAATGAGCAGCAAAATTATTTTAATGTGCATCTCTTTGCAGTCTGAGATATAGAACATAGCAATAGAACACTGCTATGTTCAATTTTAAAAGTGGCATGAAAAACTCCGTGAGAAATGTACCTTCTGAGGTTCATCTCAGGAAAGTAATTTTTCTGTAAGAGCAAGTTTTGAACTGAAGGAATTTCAGTTATTCACTCACATGCACAAGAATGTAAGGTGCTCTCTGGGCTGCTACCACTCTGAGTCTTTACTATGAGCAGAAATGACTAAGGTGAAAATCTTTGTGTTGCTGGAAGTAGTCGAAGAAGAAAGAAAATTGATAATTTGGATTCTTTTTGTATTTAATATTAAATAGGGGCAAAAATTTTCCAAGGAGCAGAAGAATTTCAGGCTTCCAAAAACAAGAGTTTAGTCATAACACCAGTATTTTAGCAAAGGGAAAGTATAACTCCATCCACTGGTCACTGGATTAGCAAGATAACGTGACCTGGGCATATACCACTACTGTTTGTAGTGTTAGGAGCTGAAATACAGACTTGTTGGTCCAGCATCCCTAACTGTTTAATGACTATTTAAAAACACAAATAGGATGCTTTAGTACAACTTGCATTCCTAAATTTCTGAATAAATAAACATTTTTCAGGCCTATGCCATCTTGACAGTTTTAATCTTAAAGAAATCAGAAGGAAAAAGTAAACTCAAGACCCAAACCAACCCTGTCCTTTTCAGGTTCTTCTTTTCCACAAAAAAGCTCAAAATTTTATCAATTGGCAAAATTGATAAAATCAATTGATAGAATAGAGCAGTTGAGGTGTAAGCTGTGTTTTGGAGTTTCGCAGAGAAAGCAGTGCAATTAATTCAGAAGACTCAGGTCTACCAAATCACTCAAAGGTATAAGTCTGCAACTGTTGGGTCGAGGATCATTTTGTATTTAGTCAAGTCTCTTACCTGAAATGCCTTTAAAATTAGCAGTGATGGGATCAAATGCGTCTTTAATTCCCAAGGCAGAAAAAACTGTCTTTAGGTCAAAAAGGCTTTGAATACTGAACCTGAAATTATTATGATAGATTTTATTTAAATGCTGGATTTGTAGTTTCATAGAGTTAAAAGCATAACAGATGTGATTTATTTCAAGCCTTTCCATTTCATCCATCTATTCCTGTATGAGACCAGTGCATGCTGTCTGATTAAGTGTACTTTGCAGAAAAGCACCTCATCTTCACCTGAAGTTGTTAATAGAAGGAATCCCTCACCACCATCTGTTGCACTCAGATTGCCTTTCAGTCTTCTTGACATATGAACTCTGCATTTTCCCAAGTTTGGCTATATCAAATGGCACTTTGAAATGTTTGCCAATGATTAGCTTGGAGAAAAAGAATATTAATGCATAAACAGTTTCTCAGGACTTCATTAATGTGATGAATGCATAGTAAGAGATGTGTAATGAAGTCCTTCCATGCTGATCCGTACAATAGGTACAGCCACAAAAGGCCTCCTGTACTTGCTTCCTCCTGCTATGCAATTTCAGTGGAATAGATGATAGAAAGTACCTCCAGGGTATGTGTGTTTGCTAACAACAGCAAATGACTGAAGTGGAAAATGAATGATGTGAGCTTGGTTTGTGCATGGAAAAGATGGGAATGACTACAAGGGTAGGGGTGTGCATGGCTTCTTTGTACAGTGCCTTTTTGTAGTATACTGACAAGTTTAAAAAACACACAATAGTGTGTATTTACAAGGTTATATATTTTTTTTCTCCCTTAAGCAAAGAGAAAAATGGAGTGTGGGAAAGGTCCAGCAAGATATCTCTTTTAGGTCTTTAAAGGATTGTTAATCCCTAACAAATTTTAAGTAAAACCTGTAGGATCAACTGCAATACTTCATTTTTTTAAGACATTACAGAGCATACCAGGAAGTCTTGTCATTCCCAGCTCACCTGTTTGTGCCTTAAGAAAGGCCATCTCTGATCGTGAGATGAATAACAAAACAGAAAGCATGTCACTTGATTTTGCTCACACATTGCTTGTGAAGGTGCTATCACATGAAATTCTGACAGTTGAAGTAGTGAAGCTATCGTGCTAACATTGCTTACCTAGGTAGAAAAATGTCCATCTTTGTTCTCTTTAAGCTGTTGGCCCAGAGGGTTATGTCTTTGGCAGAGAGGTGAGACTCAATCTGGGACAAAGGTGTTCTTTTATGGCTGGGAAGCACTAGGAACATGCTGTGTTTCTCCCCCAGGAAGGGTAACTCGACCACACTGAACGCCTCCAGAGCCGCGGTCTGGAACTGGCCTGTGGGTGGGCAAATGTAGACCTTATTTCATCATCAAAGTGGGAAAACTCCCCCCAAACCCACAACCCCAGCTAGGATCAGCAGACAGTTCAGAGCAACTGTGGTAGGATTTAAGGAATTGTCTCTAGTACATAGATTCTTGTAGCCAGCTCAGGTTGCTGTTAACTCACAACAGTCTCTCGTCTGAACAGAGCTGATTGTGAGAGAGACGTATGTATCTTGGCAGAAAAGTGCTAGTGCAAGTAATAGTAGCCGAAGCAGCACCTCAAGAGAGCATGAATATTTTATTAGTTTCTCATATAATAGCTGTCCTCCTTGCTCAGGGTTTAAAAAAATATTACCAAGGCAATGACAGTGACTGTGATGACTCGTCCTGCAATGCATGTTCTTTAACTAAAGATGCAATTTTATAATATCTTTCACTAAAATTTTAGTGCTGATAGAAGTTACAAAAACAAAATGGAGTATCCTACTTAATTAACTGAAATCTACTTTGCCTCATGTTTCTGTCTTTGTGACTTTTAAAAATCAGTTTTAACCTTATTTAAAAAAAATAGTTATATTAAACAATAGTTTATGCTTATTTAAGCATCATATTTATAAATTTTGAAAATCTAGGCACAAAAATCTATCAAAATCAAATGAAGGTTATAAAAACTAGTCTCAAGAGTAAAAGCTGTAGGGCTTCCAAACTTGCAATTGGTTATACAACAATTTGTAATAACCATTTTAAAGTACCATTTTAATGCCATATTTCAAAGAACAATTTAACCAGGCATTTCTAATGGACTCTGTTACACAGTAGAACAGATTCCACTATCACAATTTTAGCTTCTTATTTTTCTGTCTGAGAATCCAATAAATAGCATTTCAGGAACATTCAGTACTAGTTAGCAGACCAGGAGTTAAATGCAAGCTTAATACAAGTTGCGAGCAAACATCTTATTGCCTTTGCTGCAGGATATCCAAAATACTCAGTCTACTCCTTCTTCACCTGGCTGTAGTAGTTGTAACTTCAAGGTGCTCGCACTTTCTGAACCAGGGGTTGTAAATAACAGAATATATGTAGCTTATGTTCATAATATCTAAATATTTGGCAATATGTACATAGCTGTAGGATGTCTCAAATACTTAGCATACAATATTTGTTAGTGTTGCAGATATGGACTAGATAGGATTCGTAAAGTGTTGATTATTCTGCTAGATTAAATCTTAGGCTCTTAGACGAGCCCTCCTGCCTTGCACCATGGAGAGAGAATTGCTCTGTTAAAACTAACTCCCAGCATGTGGATCATTTGCTGGGAAAAGATGTTCTGCTTTCCAATGGGCAAACAAGGAAGATTTACATTTGTAGTGCACTGGGCATGAGTGGTTTAATATGCGGGCATGCTGATATTTTGAAGTTAGCACATTCTGCGCAAAGGTTATTTGTTAATTAGAAAGAAAATCAAAGACTTTATGTTATTGAGTCAGAACATTTAGCGTTCCTTGCTTGAACTGATTTTCAGCATCCCATAAGGATTATACATATGCTAAATTAGAATTCAAATGTTGTTAACGAATGGCTTGGAAAAATGAATATGTAAAGTAGCTGCAGTGTTTAAGAGGCGTGTGTGAACAGTAATGTTGACATTTTCTTAGAGCAGTGTTACTTATCCCCAGGCTGGTTTGTTCTTCGTGGCAGTGTTAAAAGGATAAACAATGTTGTAAAAGTTGCAGTTGATAGTAGGTTACAGCTAATCTTTCTCACTCTGTGCTTTGGATCCTGGTGGGAGACAGCTACTATTGTTTAATAATGACAGAAAGTTATCTTGGGCCTCTGTTTAGTTATACTGAGCCAGTCTTTTGCATTTATTTCAAATTGATTTGTTAGAAATGTTTCTGTCACTTTTAGTGACGAAGACTGAATTGGCTCAATCAAGCCTGACAATCAGCAAATTTTAAATGATCCCTTTCATTTTGGCTTCCCTTAAAAGTCTCTCCAGCTGCAAAAAGCTTACATACTTCAGGCTGGATTAGTATTTTGGCTAATTTGGCTAATATTTCTGTGCAAATATTTAGTGCTTCAGCTACCTACTTAAGGACGATAGGATGGAGTTCTTGTGTTCAGGCAAGTAGTTAAATAAGCAGAACTAACGATTTCACATCAAGTTTGCGAGGATTCTGGTGCAAATATGGGGTCAGACAATGCAGTTCAGCTGCTGAATTCCTGGTCACTGGCTTTCCCTGACTATACCCACTTGTATAAGCATTGGCAGCCCCCTGCCTTCTGTTGTTTTGGACCTCTCATTTCTTTATTTCTCTCTGCTAAAAGAGAAAGTTTGGAGAAAAGGTCCATTCTTAAGGTAATAGCTGTATTTGGTGAGCTTCTTTTGCCACATCCTTCTGAAATACATGTATGTTCCCAAGAAACCTATTTGTTTACCTCTTAAAGCAGTGAAGGGTCAGGCTGTTCAAGACATCATGGGTAGCAAAAGCCCTTGCTGTGAGCTGGTGATACAAAATCACCCAGGACTGAAAAATCGAGTTGATGTAGTTCATGTTGCTCAACAACAAGGAAGATGAGGTGTAGGGTTTTGGAAAGGGAAACTGCACTCCTCAATAAGGTAATTTAACTTGTAAAAGGTTCAAATGTAAATAGGATGGGAGTCAGAGGGTGTCAAGTCAGAGGTGTGAATGTGGTCAGGAGCTGGCAGTCCCAGCAGGAGGAAGAAGCAATGGTGGGCTCACCATGAGTGTCTGGGAAGAAGAGATGCCACAAAGAAAGATGTAACTGTAAGGACAAACTTGCAAAGAGCAGAAGAAATTATTTCTTGACCAGGTGAATTATGGTTTAGAGATAAAAAGGCATAGAAATAACGAGCTGCCATCTGCCTGCTTAATGTGACTGTTGCACAGCAAAGGAAAATGTTTTAACCATATAAGCTATTAAGACATATAAGCTATTAGATATTTTTTTAGATTCATGCCAATTATTTGTTGTAACTGGTGGCAAAGAAGTAGTCTGATGATAGAGCAAAAGATAATGGTGAGGTACCTAATGGAAATAAAGAAAAGAGTAATTACACTGCCAGAGATGGAAACAAAGTTCACGTTACTTCACATCACAAGTTCTCACACATTAGAGAGATGAATAATAATCTGGAGCCTGGATGATCGCCACTCCAAAATATGAGAAGAACTTGGATTTGGAATTGCAAATGAGTGAGCAAAAATTTTAATAGACTGTAAATTCAGTTGTTTCCCATGATTGGAAAAAAGGATTCATTTATAAAGAAAAAGAAAGTAATCTGGGAAGTTTTAGAAAGTACTCTGGAGAAAAGAATAATCAAGTCACAGAAGGAAATAGAAAGTGAGATAAATTGCAATATAAAGTAAACTAGCAAACAAATCTATAAACTTTTTTGGCTCAATAACTAATTTGATAAAAAGGCATAGATCCAGCCATCTAGTTTTAAATAAAACAGCAAATATAATTTCACTGTGGCACTATTTACAGGTAAAAGTGATGGCAATTAGAGCAGGAAAAGAAAAGCAGCAAGCAGACACTTAAAGCAATGTAAAAGAGGGGCTCCCAGGTTGAAAAGAGTTACTAGTGGCTTTCCAAAGTATTGTCCACACTAAGACTTTCATCAAAGACAGTGATTTGCCATGATGACTAGCGTGGTGGAAATCAAATGGTAGAGATTCCCCCCCCTTCCCCTTGAGGACTCATCAGCTGGAAAAAAATGCAGAAAGGAAAAAGGCCCAGGTGGGACCAACCTTGAGTAACCACCCTGAGCTGGTTCTGCGCTACACTGTGCAAGGTACTTTTAGGAAGACATAGAAATACTAAAATCATTTTAGCGAGCATGAATATAGCTTCATTAAAAGTGTTGTGCACACTCCTGATCATTTATTCTCAAGAAAGATTGATTTAAATTTGGAAAAGTGCAAAAAAGAACTAGTAGAGAATTGGAGCCTCATTTTCGAATAGCTTAGATGAGCCAGCTGCTTCAGTTTATCTAACAGGAAGTTGAGAGACAACTTGGTGACTTGCAAATAACGTTTGGGAGTAAATATCAAAGCTGAAGAGAAACTATTTAACTTAAAGCTGGCATGATGTTAAGAGATATAAATCGGTCTTGAGAAAATTTATACTTGGAATTTAGGGAGGTTTTCACCCAAGTGCACTTCTGAAATTTAGGGTAGAAGGGAAAGGAGCTTTTTATATTTTGAAAGAGATTGTATAGCTAACTAGCATAATTCCTGTTGGTAGAAAATTAAGCCTGCAACATAAGTCCTCTTGTCAGCAACCCACATACATCAAGCCTTTGAAAGTAGCCTACACTGTATTCATATATTATAAAACTAAAAGTTTGACCTATATTTATAGTGGTTTAAGCCTGTGCTGAAATCATCCACTGATTTGGTTTAAGCACCATAAAAAATTATCTTTTCTTGCAGAATTTGACCCTGAAGATCTGCAGTTTTACCCTAAAGTCTTGGAAACAGGCTGTGACTAGAGACACAGGGGTGGGTGTGCAGTGCTGGTGTTCCTGGTTGTGCCATCCTCCCTCGGTGCTCACACACTCAAACAACAAGCAGGGATTAGACTGAGGGGCCAGAAAATTTTTTATTTACCCTACAAATCAAATTGGCTTGATATAGTTTTAGTCTTAACTGCCCCTCTGTCATGGGGTCAAATGTGCTTCCTATGGTCCTCCTTTCCTAAGCAGCTTTATTTAGCAAGCTCCATGCTATTGTAAAGGACTTTTTATACTGTGGTACCCTCAGTCTCTTATGTTCCTTTCTCCTGGTCCGTTATCTTGGTGCCTTTTGGTTGTTTGCTACAACTGACAGGTTTATTATGGAACGCTAAGAGGTGTTGGTCTGTGAAGGATGGGACAGGGACAGTAGATATTTTAGGAACCATTCTGAATGCAGAATCTGTTTAATCAATGCTTGGGATTATAAGGAGTCAAGTTGGCCACCTAGGTCATCTCTTCATTTGATGGGATTTCTTCTGAGACTTCTCTAAGCTAGGAAAATAACACTATCTTAGTGTGGTATTTGTGGAAAATAAATAAAGAAAACTGTTCCAGGTTGTACAATAGCTCAAATCTGGATTAAGGACAGTTACCGTAGTTAACTTCAGCTGTATGATGCATTGTGGGCACTTTCAGGGTTGAGCCCTCTGATGTGGTAAAAGGCAACATCTGAGTGTCCATAAGGGAAAACTTCTTTTGCCACGTGCTTCTGAAATACATGGTGCTCACCAAGGCAACCTGGCTGAGCGACGACCTAGCAGTCTCCAACAGCATGCCACGCACATCCCCATCTGCACGGAAAAGAGACAGGGAGAGGGACACATGTGTCCTACTTGCCCAGGCCTAAAGGCCAGGTCCGTGTGACTAAATAAAGCAAGTCGGGACCACTCTCCATCCCGAAGGGCAAGAGGCAAAACTCATAAGGTACCATTAACCCTCTACCTTCCCCTCCCCACATGTACATGGACCTCATCTGGATTGCCTACTGGTCCCTGCTCTCCCCAGAACTGAGTTTGAGTTGGGCAATGTTGAGGGTCAAAGCTGTGCCAGCACTGTGCTACTTGCTGAACAGTGCAGATGACAGCAGCCCGGTGTTCAGCACCATGCCCTGGCTCTAACTGGTGTTCTAGGTTAAGTATGCCCAGGTGTATCTCAGAGGTGTTCATCATTAGTACCAGAAATACCTCATGGCATGATTACAGACTGCTTTATGAAGTAACTAAGTCACTTGGGGCTTATATCCTAATTTTCCCCTTCTCCTGCTTACTTGTCAGTTCAACTGATCCTGCTTTGGGTATCTCAAAGATTTCTGAAAGAGTGATCTGCTTTTAATTCATTGATATTGCAATGTGAGCACTGCAATATGACCTCTCATTTTAGTACCTGCTTCTAGAGCAATACACTTCTGTCATGGAGCTGGATCACTTCTTAGTGTTCATTTGAGAAGGACAGAATTTTTTTTTTTCATTAGTTTCAACAGCTTTAATGTGTGTATTTAACATCAGCTCATATGTTGCTGGCCAAATTAACATTCACATAAGTTGATGAGGCAAATCAGGGACTGCTTTGCTCTGCTGCTTCTTAGGACTTTCTTTTTCAATTATTTTTTTCATTAACACCGAATTTAATTTCATTACTTTTCTTGCTTATGTGGAAAGTAAATTCTTTTTATTTCCCATTTTGACTTTTTAAACTCAGGGTCTGACTGCTGAGCTTATGGCCCTGCATGTTCCCCATAGCACCATGAAAGCATTCAGTGCCACAAACATCATCCCTGGGGAATTTGGCTGTTCTCATTAAAAGTGAAAACACTGCAAAGGATTGCCATTTTAAAAATAGAGGAATGAGGCCAACTGGTTACCAGCTTGATACTGCAAATTTATACTCGCAGGTTCAGACTATTCCCACTCTTTCTTTACGTTAGAAATGAATGTCAGCACAAGAATTAGGTTTTCTGGCTTTCAGCCTTGGTTTGGACAACACAGTGTGGCAAAAAACTGTACTTGGTTTAATGCAGTTTCTCTCATCACTCTTATTTTACATGTTATCCATGTGCATTCTTGTAGGTTGCTGTGTTACCTGCAAGGTTACTGGTGATCCATTCCTGTATTTGGGCCGTGGTTCTGTTGGGGTCAGTAAAGTTGGTTTGCTGCAGGCTGCTGTTCGCCCAGCGTGCGGCATGTGCAGTGAAGTGAGGCGAGAGCTGCGTGCCAGCATCCACAAAGAAGGAACATGCCAGCTGAACCACTGTGCCTTGGCTCGAGTCGGTCACTCCTTCATACACGGTGCGCAAGAAGTCCTGCGCGCTTTGATCTGCCAGGCAAGAGAGAGGGAGAAACTGCAGCTATCATGTTGAGGTTAAGGATTGCCCCAGGGCTCCACAGCTCTCAGCTCCAGTGCTGACACTGGTGTCCTCTGATTGTTAAAGCACAGAAGCACCCTTGACTTTATGGAGCATTACTGTCAAGCACTACTGTTGAGGGCAATGATGCTCTAGGCATGGTAAAGCACTCTTCATGTTGCTGTAGGAATCACTCTAGTGCAGATGTGTCAAGCAGCTGAACTCACATCAGGTTCACACCTCTATGCAAACGCACCTCTGAACAGTTTATAAGGTACATTATTTTTTGGTTTTGGGCCCTCTCTGAGTTCCCGTTAGTGAGATCTAGTACCTCTGGCAGTGACTGGCCACAGTACCACTGTCTCCTTCTCTTGCCATTATCCACCTATCCCAGGAAAGGCATCTCCCTTATAGCCCCAGGTTAGTCTCTGCTGCCCTTGGCCCCTAGCCATTGTTTTCTTTCTTGAAGGATAGTGTCCCAAACTGGCCCAGTATTGGTGATGAGCCCTGGCAATGCTAAACAGAACTGATGGTTGCTTCACATGTGTTAGAAGCAACTCGTCTATTCATACAACCCACAACCATGTCTGCTTTTTTTTCAAGTACAATTGTATTTCCCATTCAATATTATTTTATTCTAATTCCTAAGATCCCTCAGATCCTTTCCAAAAACTACTATTTTTTGACTCATGGTTCCCCAGTTTGGATGACTGATTATTTCTTGTAAATGTAGAATTTTGCACTTGTCCTTACTGAGTTGTATCCTACTCAGTTCACATGTTTCTATGACTTTCCAGGATCCTTTTAAATACTATTCTGGTCCTCCAAAATGCTTGTAGCAATTACAAGCTCAGTGTCGTTCCAAAATTCAATAGTGTATTCTTTAGTTTGCTGTCTACTAATGGAAATAGTTGAATAATGCCCTGGTCTCCTGTTTCTGAAAAGCTCATAGTACTTCAATGGTGGTGCCTTCTGTGATGGATACATGGCTGAGGTGTGAGCCCAGAAGGAACATGGGTCCCACAAACTCAGAGAATCCTGTGTTTTTAAAATCACTGCGTTCCCATAGACTCCCTTGAAGGGTGATTTAGGAGCCATTATTTTTCTCAGTTGCAACGATTTGTGATTGAATGGTTCATGCCAAAGTGACCTCCTGAGGCCTGGGACTCTCACCCATCTGAACAACGTTTATGTGCTCTGTGTCAAATCTCCTCAAACTTCCTGTGTTTGCAGTTCAGCCCCTTTCCTATATATCTTGTTGTATTTTGGAGGAGACTTGCCTACGTCCAGATAATAAAAGTCTTGTTGAGATTGCTACTTGCCTTTAAGACATTTTCAACAAGTTCCTCATTCTATAACTAAGTTTTCAATGAGGACTGGGAAATGTCTGGAGTACTACTTTTCTTTAGCAAGACATCAGTGCCTTTTGGCTTTGTGGGACCACCAGGAACTTTCGGATTTCACCACCTAGTGCCCCAATATCTATGTGAAACCTCAGTAGCTCACTGTTGTACATGAATTCCTTGCCACCATTTTCAAGGTGGGTTAGTATTGTGTCCCTTGCTGTGGTACTTGGCTCAGATGCTCCTCTGCTTTGGCTTGAAACCCTGGAATGCCCTGGGCAGCTCATAGGTATCTGGCTCTCCATGGTCATGGCTGAGCTCGCCATTATGGCTGGTTGGAAATCTCTTAGTTTTGAGTCAAGAGGCTTTAGGCAAAGGGAGTGATCACTCAGTTTCTCCAGTCACCTGTGGATGTGGGCAGAACAGGAGGGAAGTCAGGACTGCCATCTGGGATGTGGGTGTTTTGGGGTGGCTAACCAGGGAAGTGAATCCCACATGGACTGACCTGTCCCAGGCTGATCAAATTAAGGGTCTCAGGTCAAGGGCAGGATAACCATGAGACTCCAGCTGCCAGACAGGTCATCAGGACGCTTTTACTGCATTGTTTCAGATTCTTCATGGGGCAAAAGAGAGTTGCACATCTATTGATTTTTACCACCTGAGAATCCAGCGTGTGTTTTCTGACCTAATAATACTACTTTAAGTAGCTAACCTGGAGGAAGACTAATCACCTATGGGAAGTTTGGTATTAAAATTTGGATCTATCACTCTATAAGGGGTAAAATACTGAACTCCTTGAACAGATGTCTAGAAAACTCACATAGTCTGAGGTGTAAAGTGCTTTCCTTGTGCGTTCTGCTTTAGTGTGGGAGCATCTGGCGAGCACTCTGGAAGATGTGAGAAATCAAGGATGGTAAACTGGAAGTAGATGTGGATGTGAGGGGTGGTATCCCAGACTTGTAAGTTCCCCAAAGTGCTTAGCTAACCAAAGTCCTGAATTCTTACTTGGAGAAGAGCTCAAAATTGCTTTAAAATACTCTATTGTTAATAAAATAAATCAGCTAGGAGAAAGCATTTTAAAGCATGTCATTTTGTTTGTTCTGTCTACAGATACATCCCCTTATGCATTGTTTTTCTTAGTATTAGAATAAAAGTGAACAAATCTTCCAAACATTGAAAGAAGATTACAAGTGCATGTAAGAGCAGATTCTCTGTGAACAGTGAATAAACCATCAATGTTTTCATTGTTTTCAACCTGCTAAGGTTTTAACCTCATCCTTCATTATTGTTTAGGGCAGACCAACAAAAACATTAATACAAACATTAAGTTGAAGAAAGGGATTTTATCACATATGCATACCTATATAATTTGGTTTTACTCATCTGATAGGAAATTTCATCTCAATATTTGGTTTATTTATTTTACTTATTTATTTGATTTAGACCATTTGAGGAAGTGGTTTCCTTCCCCATTACTGGAAATATGCTGTTATAACCAATAGCAATAGATCCCATTCTACTTTATTTTCACATTACTGCATTAATATTACTGAAAGCAAAAGCTCATGTGGCTCGTGCCACAGACAGCTAAAATGGAGATATAATGTCTCCCTGCTATGATGTGCCACATGAGAACATAAAAGACCTAGCAAGTCATTGACAGCCTCTGCACTTCTCTTTGTTACATTTTCTGTGGAGATCTGTGCTTGAATTTCACTGTGAAATGTTATTCTTTAAGGTTCTTTCTTAATAACTGAGCCCCTAATGACCAGAAGTATCAAGCAAGGTATAATCCTTGTATGAATTAATGTTGTTTAGGAACTGAATTTACAGAAATAGGAGTATTATAGGCAAGAGTTCATTGTATCAGCTGCTCATAATATAGATGCACTGTTCCTATGGCAGTTCATGTAGCTGATAGCTGTATCTCTATTTATCAGCTAGAGTTAGCTCCTACTGCTGTGTTGGTTTTCGAATATTAATCTTATACAGAATGGTGATGGTAACTAAGTCAGGTTACAGCACAGGAAGATGAAATTACTGTAGGTTTTATCTTTAGTTTTCATACCCTGAAAGTGAATTTTATGCTGAGAAATAGCAGTGTCACGTCTATACATAAGTCTTGTATATAAGCTGCAAATTTTGAAGATGAGGCAGTCATCTGCTTTTCATAAACATTCTGCCCATAATGTAAAATAGTTTTTGACATGTGATGTGAGATGGTAGGATAATCCAAAGCTGAAATGAAAACAGCATCCTTAAATTAAGCTGCCTTAATGCTGGATTTAAAGACATCTGTCTTTCCCATATCCCTTCCAAATTCCCAGTGAGTTTTATTTTAGCCTGCTTTCAGGGAAAGATGCAATTGCACCATCCATCTGTCAATGTGTATCTGTCTGCCAGTCTCCTTCTGATAACTTTTCATCTTTTTGGCCAGTTGTAATAACATCATAAGTCTTAAAGATAATTCAACTTCTATAGGTTTCATTTGTTAATGGGATGGGAGAGAAAACAACTCTCCACTGCCTGGCACCTCTTTGCAGAGCACACAGGGGACAGTAGGGCACAGTGGACACGATGAACCTCTAGGAAATCTGGAGCAATTCTGCTGTTCATGGAAGCGGCTTTTCTAAATGTAGCTGTATTTTTGTGCCATAAGAGAGTAAGCACTGATTCAGGAAAAAATGGAACAATAACACGTATATCAACTACTCCTTTGAGTTTCCTTTGTTCAGCTGATACCTGCCTATCAAAGATGGAGAAAACACTCCTAAACTAGATCTTGCAGTGAGACAGAAAATGGAAATTTAATATGACGTGTCCCATTCCTGTCTCCTCATTATGCTGTGAATTTATTAAAAAATGTAAGACAATAAGTATTTTTTTTTAAGCAGTACATACCATGAATGTTGTATCCTAGGGCGTCCTGCAGCTCTGTAAAGGTATTTCCTTGCGCTCCAAACTGCAGCAGCTCCAAAGAAACAGCCACACTTGCTGGAGAGACTACCAGATTGGTTCTGTTCTCTGCTTCAGATATATGCCGGTAGAGATTGATGGCAAATTCAGTTTTCAGCTCTTTCAGCTCATCATAGGAGATGCAGTTTCCTTTGGTTAAGAAGCAAGCAGAGAGGATAAATGCAGAGAAGGAAATGGGCAACATGAAGGCGAGCTGGGAACACTCTCCACCAGGTAATCACACCTGCAATTAATAACACAGATATATTTAGAAAAGTAATAGGCTGAGCTGACTGAGAAACTTTCTCATTCCATCAGTGCTGACATATCACTTGCAATAGTAATGACCACTATTAAAATACTCGTCCGGTTCTACTCAGTAACTGTTGTCATTAAAAAAAAGAAAATAAACGTAGGGACATGCTGATGACTCCATTGACTAACAAGGATCGAATTTTCCAGAATGCTGTAGCATACAGGATGGTTGGCCATTATAGAGCGCCTTGTCTCCCTTGTGTGGAGACAAAGAGCCCCTTGGTTAAAAAGTTAGTCACCTGCACACATGATGACTGCACTTCAGTGCAGTCTCCATGCTGCTGAGCACCCATAGCTCCTTTCTGTCCCCAGCACTCCCAGAAGAAAGGCCACCCGTCGTGAGGTGCAGAAATCTAGCCGGATGCTCCAGGCTGGGCTTTAGATCCAAGTTTGCAAAAGGCTGGCTTCAAATTTCCCCCACAGATATTCCTGCTATGAAATTTCTCCCAGTGAAAATAAGGTTGCATTTGCAAAAGGTTCTAGTGCTTGCAGCACAAAATCACCATGTCGGATTTTTATGGGAAATCAAGCATTGGTCAACTTTATATTAAGAGACACTTAGGTTCATATTTAAAGGAATAATGCTAAAATGACAGAATATCTTTCCTTACAGAATTTCACCTTCTGAAGATTGTATGCAAGTATATTTTAAAAATTACTGCACCTTCTTTCACCTCAGGATTTTCTACAAATCTTTCTCCATGCCCTTTGCTCTAGAGAACACCTCTAATGCTTTGCATTTACTCACAGTTAAATTGTCTTGCCTTTCTGTGTCCTTCTGTGTGTCTGAATGGAAGCTGTCTATGAACGTCTTGTCTCCTTCTTTAATAGGTAGTGGAGTAAAGACTAAGTCATGAGACTGCATTTAAAGGGATAGTCAGTGATCAGAGTCTCTGTCGGCGATGTCTGTACCACTCTGTCCAAATTCCTGTAGGCTACAAGCTCTATGGAGAGCCAGGCAAAGCAGCATGCCACTGACCAGCAAATCCAAGGCAAGGAACAAAAAGGTACACATGGAGATAGAGTCAGCAACTTCCTTGCAAGCCCTGCTGGAGCCTCATGAGACTTGTGACCTGCTGGTACCGAGCAAGGCATCTCCTATCTCTCTTCCCACCCCCCTCCTTCTTTTGTATGAATTCCATTGATTCCTCTGCCACAAAGGGGAAGAGAAAGGGCTCTCTGTGTACCAGGCACACAGCTATTTTTTTACCCCCACTTTGAAAACTTATTCAGAAATCCCATGCAATTAAAATGTCTTTATTTCCCTTTTTTTTAATTAATGCCATCCCAAATAGCTAGATTTTCTTTTACTCTTTAATTTCCAGAAGGAAAGAAACAACAACATGGTGCACTTGAAGGAGATTGAATAAGGAAGGGGTTGCTTTGAATAGACCAGAAGCAGAAGAGCTATGGTTGTGACTGCTTTAAGAGCAGTTGTAGCTGCTCATGGCTTTCTTCATGTGATGGGGTCAAAAATCCTCCCTGTCACATTCACAGGTTCAGCCTCACAGCTTCACAATGCCAGTTAAAGCAAGCAAGATTTGGGCTTAAAAAATAATGTAAAACTGCAGCTTATTGATCTTCACAGAGTTTGACACTATATATATGTTTAGCTATTTCACAACATACATTCCTGTTGGAAGAAGACATCGGGAAAAAGTTTATTACAATCAAGCAATAATTTAGGTGCTAGTTTCATCCTTAGCAGGTAAGGAACAGCCACACAGAATAGATGCAGATACTGGGGCCTGTTTCAGGATCCTGGGCTTTAGACCACATTCCTGCTAGGACTGATGAAGGGGAAAAGCTTGGTCAGTCATAGTCTAGTACAACAGGCAGGGATGTTGATTTTGCTAGAGATTTCAATAAAGTATCCTCATGCTGAAAATTACATTTGAGCTTAAGGGTTTGGCTGAATGAGGACCTCTCTGCTGAAGTTATCATTAACACTGTCCACTGGACTGGAGTTGTATTCAGAGGGAATGAAACAGAGGCCACCAAGTGATTTCTCGAAGGGCTCAGAGCTGTCAACAGATAAATTAACTGCGGTCACTGGTGAGGATTATACGTGTGGATTTGATGTGATGTTCCCAGAGGCTCCAAACCTGATAAGACATTTCCTCGGTGCCCTGGTTGATACTATCCTGTGGATTTATTAAGACTTAAAAGAAAGATAAGGCGTCCCTGAAGATTTTAGGCATCGCTGTCAAAAATTAACATTTAATTGCCACTTTGCAAAAATGTTGCTGTCGCATTTGTCATATGTATTTATGGAAGATGTTATTGAAAATTGCACCTGGTATAAATGTTGTGTAGAGCAGCATAGTTTCAGTAGGAAAGGGCAATATGTGTTCTGGGTCTTGTCTCATCACAGAGGGGACTTAGAAATTGGGAGGTTTGTTTCAAATCCTCCCTTTCTGCACCTACTTTAGGAAAGGAAAGATGTGGAGGAACCTTAGCAGCAAAAACAGTGTTTGCAGACGAAGAGGGAGGACTTAATAAAACTAAAACTGGATCAACACTGTTCAAAGCAGCCATGGGAAATAAGAAATGTGCTTTACATATAATAAATAGAAAAGAAATCCTTTGGTGAATGATGAGAATGATAAAAGGCAGTGGAGTAAGAAAGAAATAAGAATCAGTGAAACTACTGTGGCTAAAAAAAAATGATAAAATACTGGGGGAAGGTTGTGAATATTTATCATAATCAAGGTCAGAAGCAAAAATTCTTACACCTGTTCAGTTTAGAAACCTAAGTTTTAAGTTTTCTTCCCCAAACTGGGATCCAAGGTTGACAACTGGGTGTCTGAGGAGAAGCTGGTGCCACATGAGGGTGAGTCTGAAAACTGAGTTTGCCAAGTGAGTCCATGGAGCCAGGAACTGAGCTGTCCAAATGACCATAGTCTGGGGGGGACTGCAAATCAAATAGGCTAATTACAGAAATCCTGTGTTAGAAATAGAGGTGTCCTGGACCTACTGATGTATTAGGGTTGTGCTTCTTTTGAGAAAGGGAGTTTCTGGCTCTTTCTTAGGGATTCCAGCATTTTTTTTTTTTTTAGAGTCTTCATATGTGCCTGTGTCCTAGTTTAGACATCACATCCTTCTTTGGTCTTAATCTGGCTATGCATCACAAGGTATTGAGGAACGTACTGATACATTTTCTGGAAATCATTTTATTTTCAAGATGCTGGAAATGCATTTAAAAAGGCATGCAGCTGACTGGTCCCTAAGACAAGTCTTCAAAGTTAGAAAGGGGCAGAGGTAGCAGCTGTATTTTGAGAAATGCTTTTTCACATTGAGATAACAGACTGCCTGTGAAGCAAGTGAGAAAAGGTACAAGCTGAGGATTTCTGGAGAAAACACAGCACAGGGGGGTGTGTGTAGGAACCTGGATCACGGAGTGCTGTGTCTCTGTGGAGGTCCTCTGAGCATCTACAGGTACAACTCTGAAAACTGCAGAGGGATCCCAACCTCTCCATTCTCTCACTGAGCAGAAAAACCACCACTCTTTGAGAGGGAAAACAGCCCCCAAACAGGGAGCAAACTAGCGGAAAGCACTGAAGACAAGCCATAAGTGGTGACTGTTTTCATCAATGGATTAGATGCTGTGTCTGCAGTGTGCCAGTGCTGTTACTGTATGGGCCCTCGAGGCCCTCCTGTGTGACCACGGCAGTGGGCAAGGCCACAGACTGCTGAAGCACCCACAGCTGCTCAGCTGACAGATGCCTTCATAGATGGCTCTACAATGTCTGGTCCAAAAATATGGAGAAATAGAAAAAGATGAGGAAAAAGAAACAGTCAGAGGCAGCTGTTCTTCAGAACTTCATCTTCAAGGTCTTCATGGTTGAGATTCTACTCTAAGGTATAGGACTGTGAAAGGCAAAATTGGGTCCTAGAGCAGATGGGGAGCTCCTGGAGGACTGTGGGCTGTGGAAAACAGACTCAGGGTTGAGCCTCCATGGCATCAGGGAGGAAGCTGAGGAACTTGTTCAGCCCTGATAGCACTAGCAGTCACAGGACTCAAATGAGAAACCAGAGGGAAAGGCACAGCCTGCACGGACTGCTAGGGACAGAGAGAGATTTCTTTGGAAACCTTTCCCCACAACCAATTGTTTCTCATCGGAGACTGGAGTTTTCTCTGATTTATTAGTCTGCATTCTAAGAAAACTAAGCCCTAGTTTGGTGTGGCTACTGAGAGGAATGAGGGAGCAGTTCAGCTTTTGGGCTCTAGCCAGTTTGGGCTTCTACTGCAGGGATTTTACACAGTGATCTGGAGCAGAATTTTGCCCAGGGAAAGGCTGGAAGATAAAAGATGAGAGAACCAGTTGAGAAGCAGGTTTTCCTCTTCAGAATCCTCTTGTTTGCTTTTCTGTGTCAGGTCAGTCTCCCATAAGCATAGAATCATAGAATCATAGAATCATAGAATCATAGAATCAACTGGGTTGAAAAAGACCTCTGAGATTATCAAGTCCAACCTTGATAAACTTCCTTCCACTCTAGCACAACCCTATTATCAGTAGGATTACTGTACACTTACTCCTTCATAAATGATAACAAAATTTAACCTTCTGTTTGCATCTGTTTTTTGTGTGCTTACTCTCTTTAACATATAGAATAACCCTTGGGAAATTAAATAGAATCCAAGCCAGCTTCCTTCCTGCTTATATCTCTCCTTCAGGAGAGAGCCTGCACTGCAAGACATCAGCACATTTGCTCTGTCAGGAAGGTGGTTCTGCTGAACCTCAGGATAAGAAAAATTTGCATCATCATTTTATACAGAGCTTATTCTATGGGGAGGCAGTTGACTGTGGAGCTGCAAAACTGCCCACTGTGCAAGTTCAAGTGAATTTTCTTACTGCTATCCACATGCCATGTAAAAACTAGCCCCGCCTCTGCTTCCCCTGGGGTGTGAGGACAAAATCTG